CTACTAAAAATACAAAAATTAGCCGGGTGTGGTGGTGCACGCCTGTAGTCTCAGCTATTTGGGAGGTTGAGGCAGGAGAATCACTTGAACTCGGGAAACAGAGGTTGCGGTGAGCAGAGATCACGCCACTGCAGTCCAGGGAGCAAGACTGTCTCAAAAAAAAAAAAAATTCTTTTGACCACTATTTCTCTTTAATTGTTCTTTCTATCTTGTTTCAGCTTTGGAGGAACCATAATTCTTTTTAGTGTAATTCATCAGTTTGTCTCAAAACAAAGATCTGGTTTCCTACAGATTCCCCAATGCTTTGCATGTGAAAAATAATCTGGCTTTCAAACTATAAAACCAAACAGCTATCAATGTACTGTATACAGTTAGCTCCTAAAACCCATGGCATACTTTCATCATTTGAGAGACATTCATAAACTAAGATAATATTTCCTGAGCAGCTACTATGTGCCAGTGGGCCAAGTGCTCTAAGGCCATTTTCTCATTTAACACTCAACAGATAGGTACCACTGTCATCATCTCCACTTTACAGATGGGGAAACAGGACAGAAAGGCTGAGTCGTCCAACAGCACCTGGCTTGTAGGTGGCAGAGTCAGGACTGGGACCAATGCAAGCAGAAGACTTGAAAGTCCATACTAATTAGGGCCTCATCCCAACATTCTGCTGCTGGCCAAATACATCATGTAATTCCACATCTCCATGCCTTTGCTCAGGCCATTTACTCTACCAGGAATGCTAATCCTTCCTTCTTCCCTTCCCACATCCTCATAAACACATGTTCTTCTTCTAAGACCCACCTTAAACATACTTCCATTGTGAAATGCCCCCCTTTTCTTTTCTCTTTTTTTTTTTTTTTTGAGACAGAGTCTCACTTTGTCGCCCAGGCTGGAGTGCAGTGGTGAGATCCTGGCTCACTGCAACCTCTGCCTCCCGGGTTCAGGTGATTCTCATGCCTCAGCCTCCTGAATAGCTGGAATTACAGGAACGCGCCACCACAACTGCCTAGCTTTTAAAATTTTTAGTAGAGACGGGGTTTCACCATGTTGGCCAGGCTGGTCTCGAACTCCTGACCTCAGGTGAGCCACCCACCTCAGCCTCCCAAAGTGCTGGGATTACGGGCATGAGCCACCACGCCTGGCCTGTGAAACACCCACCTTTTCTAGATTATAAACTGTAAAGATAAAGAAACAAAGGTAAAAATAAAGGAAAAAAGAGCCTGCTCTTGCTGTGGCCTGGTAATAATTTTCTAGAAAGAGCCATTGACAAACAAGGGCAAGAAGTTACCTAGAGAAGGGACTGAAAGAAAAGAGAAACAGGCATTGCTAGGCCATCTCCAGTTGCGAAGCACCTGATCGACCAAATCTCTGGCTTGCAAGTCCTTCATTTCTCCTACATACTCTGGGGTGGTGGGCACGAGCATGTGCACCAAATCCCTGCACAGTCCAGTCTATGTGCAGCACTAGTGTGTATAAGGAAACAGAACCAGGCCTCCCCTGCAACAAGCCTTCATCAGCTTCCTGCACCAGCCTGCTTGAGAGTTCAATAGGAGTTTACTTGTGGGGATGGACCCAGCCTTGGGAAAGCCACAGCCTGCTAAAGAAGATACAACCAAGGCCAGATTAAGGGAGGCAAGAAAAAGAACTGGAGGGACGGGGACACTTTATAACCAGCTGCAAGGGGAGGATGTTTAGGGAGGCAAACAAAAGCACCGCATTTCCATGAGCTTCATTTAATTTACATTTAGCCTTCTCATTCTCAGTAATTGAATGCATTATTTATTTTGGCCAGCAATTGCTGCCTGTGGCTTTCAGGAGAAAAATAATAGGCTTTTAAGGTTTAGCGCCACAGCATTTAGAGACTTAAGTAAAAATCATCGATAAATTATTAAACATGAAGCGGACTCCACATTCCCGCTCTCCTGCAATAGCTGAAAGTGACAGAGGAAGCAGACGAGGAGCCCAGAGTCCTGACACAGAGGGTGCTGTCTTTATCCATGCACAGTGTATGGGGCTGTTCTTACACCAACTGTCCCTCGGTGGGGACGGAGGATGTTACAGGAAGTACAACAGGGAGAAATTACTCACAGCTCTCCTTCAACACTTCTTGGGAACACCAAATCTTTGATAAGGGGGATACCTTTATCCAGGTAGAGAATTTTTGTTTTGCTTTCTCAAAAAAAATTACCATGAAGCCCTATATGGGATCTAACCATAAATTTCCCGAGATCCACAACATTCAAATCCATGGTCCTGATTTTATAACAGTGGAAGAAGAAAGATCTAGGCCTCCAAAGCCTCCACCTGCAGTTCTGGTAAGTGTGTCAGAGCTTTGGTATCTGCAGCTCACAATTTGTTCCTATTATTGCAGGTAAAACCAACTCAAGTATGCCTACCTAGGTCCACCATTCCTGAGCTTTTAAAGAAGGAACCCATTTAGAAGCAGATTTAAAATTTCTAATATCCAAGAAAGCGTCTTCTAATTTTCATCCTGTGCATCACTAGGTTTTTGGTGGTGACTGTTAATTTTTGTTTTGTTTCTCACTAACCCATTGTTCTTTATTTTTTTCCCCGAGACAGTCTTACTCTGTTGCTTAGGTGGTGCGATCTCTGCTCACTACAATCTCCACCTCCCAGGTTCAAGCGACTATTGTGCCTCAGCCTCCCAATAACCCATCATTCTTACCAAAGCAAGCAGTAGGAGTAAGTTCCATGTTGACCTACACACAATGAAGACACGTGCCTGTCCTAGTGGGGAGAGGGGGTATCACAGACAATAAGCAAGTAAACAAACAGAGTAAGCAAGCATCGGATTGTGGAATGTGCAACGATGATAATGAGGATGCTGCTGCAGAGGTGACAGAGTGGGGCGGGGCGGCTACTCTAGCTAGAGTGGCCAGCAGAGGCCTCCGTAAGGAGCTGTGGCTTGTTCTCATCATCTGCCTTGTCATTAAAAAAATACATCTCGGGAAACATCATTGTAGAAAGAGGGAACAAAGCCACAGGCTCTGCACTGGGAGACCACTGAGTATGTTCAAAGAACAAAAGCAGGCCTGTGTGGCTACAGCAAATGGGAGATGAGGATGCAGGTGGTTGAGGATGGAGGTGGGCAGGCACCAGCTCACAGGGGAACTCAAGAGGCAAGTGTTCAGCTGCACTCAGAAGCTACTGAAGTCCCCCATGAGTTAAAAGCAAAACCAAGCAGAGTTTTAAAGGTTCCTGGGCAGCAACCATGTATGAAGACTTCACTGCCCAGAGTTGCTCCAGTTGAATCAAGACACAGATGATCCCCAGAACTTCCATGGCAGTGATTCAAAGAATGGAGGAGTGACCACTCTCCAACTGGCCCAGAATGCCCTACCAAGACAATGGCAACAAGTGGTGAGGCGCCAGCCTTGGCATAATCTGTGCAGTTGTGTCAGGAAAAGAACCAGCACTGAACACCTCAGTCCACCTCCTATGGCACTATGGAAGTGCCCCAGCGTTCCTTTAGGCTTCCCAGTCAATGCAATGGTGAAGAGGCATGGCCTTGAGCCAGACAGATCAGGGGCTGAGAGGTAGCTCAGTGACTCAGGGGTGGACCGACCTCAAGCAAGTGAGCTGGTCACTCTCTGCCTCAGTTTACTCACCTGGGTAACAAGGCACCAACCACAGCACCGGCCCCATGTGGCTGCTGGGAGGATGAAATGAGATAACATGTGCAAAGGGCTTGCCACATCACAAATGCTTCATAAATGTCATGTAAAGATTTCTTTTACCCTCTGTGTTATGGCCTGCAGGGTGGGTACCGTGCTGCTGACCTGCCTGCATGCCCTTGGTGTACACCGTTGCAGTAGGTAACCAGGGTGTCCCGCAGCAAACACTGGGGCTTTCCACCTGAGTGCCTTCTCTTGGCTCAAGTATGGAGCAGGCCAGAATGCCAGGGGGTTAATATCTCAGAAGCAGCGCTCTGTCAATGACAGATGAGAATAAAGGGAAAATCACCTGTCTTTCTTGTCCTGCAGGTGGAGAAACACTGGCTGTGTCTGACAACACCGCCCAGATGGGAATGAGCTTCAGCTGCCCACAGGAACGACCTGTTCGATGGTGCCTGTTTTTCTGGCTGCCTTTCCTTCCCTGTCTCATCTCACATCACCCTTCTGATAGCACTGAGATCACCTTCTCCCAAATAAACGATCCTGAGCATCCTTGCCTAATGGATGGCTTTGGTGCCTAGTATGGAAAGATCAGTCTTGGGCAGAAATTTTATCTGTAACAGCAAACTGTAGGGTATTTGTTCTACCACAGATTAGATGGTACCTGTGTGTTTCTGGGGTTTCAAACACACAAACATCAACACCAACAAACAAACATGAATCTGCCACTGTGAAGCAGTCCTCATGTCTCACATTCCCCAGGTGTGCCGAGCTCAGGACGTCTGAGCCGCACGACCTCATCTGTCCTAGGCAGATTTAAGGAGGTTCTTACAGGAAGACAACTGTGCTTTATGATCTGACTCTATAAATGCATGTGTCCAACGTGCTTCCTAGCAGAGAAACAAATTTAAAACTCATCACTTATTATTCTTTTTTTTTTCTTTCCCCCTTAAAGGAATCTCTTTTGGTCGAGCGCAGTGGTTCACGCCTGTAACCCCAGCACTTTGGGAGGCTCCCTTGAGCCCAGGTGGGAGGTGGGAGGAACACTTGAGCCCAGGAGTTCAAGACAAGCCCGGGCAACAAAGCGAAATTCCATCTCTATAAAAAATAAAAATAAAAACATTAGCTGTGTGTGGTGGTGTGCGCCTGCAGTCCTAGCTACTCGGGAGGACTGCTTGAGCCCAGGAGTTCGAGGTTACAGGGAACTATGATTGCACTACTACACTCTAGCCTGGGTGACAGAGCGAGACTCTGTCTCTAAAAAAAGAAATCTTTGTCTCTCTCTACACACATATGCACACACCTCCGTCAGTTTTCCTAAGCAGCAAGGGACTGCCCGAGATGAGAGAACGATGGACTTACCTTGGGAGAGGCACTGGTTGGCCAAGGCCACCTGACCAGAATGCAGGTAGAGATTGAGACGTGTGAAGATGCCCGCCAGGGAGGGGATGGTGATGAAGCAGTAGGCAACACAGGCCTAGGAGAAGGGAAGAAACATTAACGCTGGCAATGCCACGGTGGCAGAATCATGCTCCCGTTTTCATCCCTCATGTATTTCCAAGTAAAGAAACTTACAACAGTGACTCTCCCCATTCTGAGCCCCAGTATTCCCCTCTTGTACAACTCTGCTCTGTCTGATGACCCTCGAGGAGGACGGGGGTGTGAGGGGAGTGAGTGATAATGCAGGAAAAACAAACCTCACCCATCATCAGGGGAAGTAAATACGTAGCACCTAACATTGATAAACTGAGAAATAGCTGTTTAAACCAATTACTTAAAAATATGGTGGTAATTAGGAGTTGCTAAAGTTTGAGGTGGCTGATTGAGAAAGACAAGCAAGGTGACAAAGGGCAGAGCCAGGATACTTATTTTTTACCGTAATCTCTTCAATATAATTTCATGTTTAAAAACACAGACACATATTTATTTATTTATTTATTTTTTACTGATACTTTTTATTTATTTATTTTTTATTATACTTTAAGTTCTAGGGTACATGTGCACAACATGCAGGTTTGTTACATATGTATACATGTGCCATGTTGGTGTGCTGCACCCATTAACTCGTCATTTACATTAGGTATATCTCATAATGCTATCCCTTTCCCCTCCCCCCTCCCCACAATAGGTCCCAGTGTGTGATGTTCCCCTTCCTGTGTCCAAGTGATCTCATTGTTCAATTCCCACCTATGAGTGAGAACATGCGGTGTTTGGTTTTCTGTTCTTGTGATAGTTTGCTGAGAATGATGGTTTCCAGCTGCATCCATGTCCCTACAAAGGACATGAACTCATCCTTTTTTATGGCTGCATAGTATTCCATGGTATATATGTGCCACATTTTCTTAATCCAGTCTGTCACTGATGGATATTTGGGTTGATTCTATGTCTTTGCTATTGTGAATAGTGTCACAATAAACATACGTGTGCATGTGTCTTTATAGCAGCATGATTTATAATCCTTTGGGTATATACCCAGTAATGGGATGGCTGGGTCAAATGGTATTTCTAGTTCTAGATCCTTGAGGAATCGCCACATTGTTTTCCACAGTGGTTGAACTAGTTTAAAGTCCCACCAACAGTGTAAAAGTGTTCCTATTTCTCCACATCCTCTCCAGCACCTGTTGTTTCCTTTTAAATGATTGCCATTCTAACTGGTGTGAGATGGTATCTCATTGTGGTTTTGATTTGCATTTCTCTTATGACAAGTGATGATGATCATTTTTTCATGAAAAAACACAGACACATATTTCTTAAAATTTTGAACAGGGCTGGGTGCAGTGGCTCATACCTGTCATTCCAACACTTTGGGAGGCTGAGGCAGGAGGATCACTTGAGGCCAGGAGTTTAAGACCAGCCTGGGCAACCCAGTGAGACTCCCCATCTCTACAAAAAACAAAAAAATTATCCAGGCATGGTGGTTACAGTGAGCTATGATGGTACCACTGCACTCCTGCCTGGGTGACAGAGCAAGACCCTGTCTCCAAAAATAAATACATGAATGAATAGATAAATAAATTTTGAGAAGCATCACATCTGATAAAATTTTCAGCTTCAAGAAGCTGAAAATGATTTTTCAAAGTTTAACATCAGGCCGGGTGTGGTGGCTCACGCCTGTAATCCCAGCACTTTGAGAGGTTGAGGCGGGCAGATAACTTGAGGACAGGAGTTTGAAACCAGCCTAGCCAACATGATGAAACCCCCATCTCTACTAAAAATACAAAAATATTAGCCGGGGATGGTGGCATGTGCCTGTAATCCCAGCTACTCGGGAGGCTGAGGTAGGAGAATCGCTTGAACTTGGGAGGCGGAGGTTGCAGTGAGCTGAGATCGCATCACTGCACTCCATCCTGGGCGACAGAGCAAGATTACGTCTCAAAAAAAAAACTAAAACAAAGTTGAGCATCATTTTTATCTAGAGGAATAAAGGTCTTTCAGTTATAAGAACAATATTATTATACATATTTTTATATTAGAAACTTTTATATTTTATAATGTTGTAAAATATGTGTTATATTAGTATATGAGAAAATGAAAGCTAATTCAGCTGGCACATAAAAATGCAGATCCATTGCTCATTCACCTTCCCTACAACACATATTAAAATTCAGACTCATTTAACCATTTCTCTTGAAAACATTAGAAAATAGATCATCCCATAGATACAGGGAAAAATTAATCTGAAAAATCAATACTAAACCATTCGTATCATGACACATTCATCTTTCTCTGGGAAGAGTAATTTAGTAACCTGCAAGCTAAACAGCGCACTGGAGTTCGAAGTCCGACAGTCCTTATCTTGAGAACGTACCCGGACAAATGCAGCCGTCTTTCTGGAATGATTTCCTTTCATTAGTTTTCTTGTCTCCATTGCCAACCGGTTCACACTCTGAATGTGTTAATAAAACAGAAATGGTAATGAAGTGATGGCTGATTCGGATGAATGTTTTCCATAGAAATTTGAACATTAACTACATACAGGTCAACAAGAACAAGCTTTCTAGGACAAAGACTGGTTAGCACCAAACCCTGAAATGCCAAAGGGGTCATCAGGCCTGATCCAATCATGGCTTGAGCAAACATCTCCAAGATGGTAGAACAAAAGGCAGTGTTTGCTAGGTTAGTCATGCCTTTTGATCAGCATTAGAAGTGACCATTTTCTGGCTTGATGAATAGCTATGACTCACTTGCTCCATTTCCAGAAATCCTACCACACCAAAGTTTAAGAATGTAGAGATCTTAAGAGACACCTCCAAAGCATACCATTTAGACAATCAGACCACACCATTCAGCTATACAATACCGACAATAAGAACAATAATGATAGTAGCCACATCATCACTAATAGTGTTCCAAGCACTATTTAAGAGCTATACATTCATTGGTTCACTTAAGCTTCATAATCCCAGGGTGGATACTATTACCTCCCCTGTTTTCCAGATAAAGTTTCTAGATTTAGGTCTTAAGTTTAGTTGTGCTAAATAACTTGCTAACCAGCAAATAAATACATATGAAAGTTATTCTCCTTGAATAGACATGAAATAATGAAAGAGCTTTAGGGAACCCTTCCACAGATATAAAAAGTGTGGACCTGCGGTTCCCAAACTGTGCACCATGGCACCCTGGGGTGCTGCAGCAAAGGCAGTAAATTCACAGGGGTGTCACAGTTTTTTAGGGTAACACAGCAATATTTGTTTGTTGCCACTTTGCAAAGCACTGGTGCAAGGCTGATTTGATGATGGATTGCTTTATATCCCTTATAGCCACATCATATATTCGTAAAACTTGTTTTTTGTGGCTACTGTGATCAAAAGCAAGTTTAATTGCTATGCAAAAATAAATGTAAAAAAAGTGAATGTAAAACAAGAAATAAGAATAGCATCACCAATCTAATTCCAAATTTTATGAAGCTGTGATACGCCTCATAAGTACCATAAGTACAAACCCATCATTACTAATTACGGCTAAGAAAAAAATAGGCCAGGCTTGGTGGTTCATGTCCTAATCCTAGGACTTTGGGACGCCGAAGCAGGTGGATCACCTTAGGTCAGGAGTTCAAGACCAGCCTGGCCAAGATGGTGAAATCTCATCTCTACTAAAAAATACAAAAAATTAGCCAGGCATAGTGGTAGGCACCTGTAATTACAGCTACTCGGGAGGCTGAGGCAAGAGAATCACTTGAACCCAGGACGTGGAAGTTGCAATGAGCCAAAATCGTGCCATTGCACTCTAGCCTGGGCAACAGAGCAAAAACTCCGTCTCAAAAAAGAAAAGAAAAAAAGGTATTATTTTTCTTTCAATTTATATATATATTTTCTTCAAATGGCTATCAAGTTGTAAGAGCATAAATACTTAAGTTGTCTGAACCTAACTTTTTTTTTTCTTTTTGAGATGAAGTCTCCCTTTGTTGCCTAGGCTAGAGTATAGAGTGCAGTATCACGATCTCTGCTCACTGCAACCTCCACCTCCCAGATTCAAGTGATTCTTCTGCCTCAGCCTCCCAAGTAGCTGGGACAACAGGTGCCTGCCACCATGCCTGGCTAATTTTGGTATTTTTAGTAGAGACAGGGTTTCACCATATTGGCCAGGCTGGTCTCAAACTCCTGACCTCAAGTGATCTGCCAGCCTCAGACTCCCAAAGTGCTAGGATTACAGGTGTTAGCCATCACATCCAGCCTGAACCTAACTTAATAAACAGGGCTGTTATTAATTCTTTTGGTCTGAGAGCACCATAAAAAGTTACTGAGAGATGCCATGATCCAAGAAAGTTGGGAACCTCTTGTTAGGTAAGAAGGGGCTCCTTCTGGTTAGATTTCTGTAAGTCACTTAACTCTGTTGCTGGCACGCAGAAATGAGAAAATGCAAATCTCACAGAAAAACAGATCAATAAAACCAAAATTGTAAGTTTATTAACCTTTGAGAAAGCACCTTTCACACCATAGAGAACAGTAACAAAACAAGACCAGAAGAATCCCATATTAAGGCTGGGTACAGTGGTTCATGTCTGTAATCGCAGCATTTTGGGAGGCCAAGGCAGGAGGATTGCTGGATGTGAGGAATTTGAGACCAGCCTGGGCAACACAGTGAGACCTCATCTCTCAAAAAACAGAAAAACAAAAACCAAAAAAACCAATATTTAAAATAGCCGGGCATGGTGGCTTGAGCTGGTAGTCCCAGCTACTCAGGAGGCTGAGACACGAGGACTGCTTGAGCCCAGGAGTTCAAGGTTACGGTGAGCTATGATTGCGCCACTGCACTCTAGCCTGGGTGACAGAGTGAGACCCTGTCTCTAATAAAATAAAATAAAAATAAATGATTGGGATGTAGATGATCAATAAATATGTATTGAGAGAAGAAAGTAATGAATGAAGATACTTACATGAATCAGCTGCACAAGAACAGGCTCCAGATTGCAAAACATTGACCTGGACTCCACATAAAAACTCAGCTGTTGTTCAAAATCACGGCCAAAGGAAACCTAGAATCAAGGAGAAAGATGCTGCAGGGGACAGTGGTATTTTTAGAGGGAACACAGGCATATGGTATGACTGAAATATTATTATTGCCACCTCATCTTTATGGCATGGGCACTGGACTAGAACATAAGAAGTCAGAGGGTATAAAGCAGAAGCTCAAAGTGTAAATAGAATTTCCCAGGCTCCGAAGGAAACCACTGGAAAGGGAATAATGGGATATTGTTTGTCAGTTGTGGCCTTTTCACAGAACATAAATGTGGTTATTGGGGGCCATTTGTCAGAAGGTTTGCCATCGTAACGGTCACACCTTTCTGCTTCCTGATGAGGAGCCAACCTCGGCAGCTCACTGGTGGCTACAGAAGCCATAGATGGAAGTTTCTCCACCATTAAACCATCACCTCGTCTCCTATTTCTTCAAATTTATGAACAGCTGGTTACTAAGAAAAACTTTACTGTACATCAATCATTTTTGTCCAGATGAGGTTTAATATCATCATTTCCATTACAGCTATCATGTTTCATATCTGATTTCCTCATATTCTTTTCCGTAACAACTCGGCAACTTTCAGACAATGCCAAAAAAAGATAAATACCACATGATGAGTACAAAAAGCAAGGACAACGGAGAGTGACCTGGGAAAATCCATAGGTCGGTTTTCTAACACAGGAATTGAAAGGCTAATCCTGAATTTTCATCAAAATTGATATTTCACCCAGAGTCAGGTGGACTAATCAACCCGCATTATTGAACAAGTCAGAATTTCAAGGTTATTTTCAAAGTGATCTCGTCATTTTCATCTCTGTCAGCTTTGGTCCTGACTTTTCTATTAAAATAGAAGATATTGGCAGCAGTTGGTGTTTTGGCACCCAGAATGAAGGTGAAGACTGTTCAGGCTGGGATAGTATAATGGTGGGATGTTCCCAAAGGAGGCTGCAGGAATCCCTCCCACTCTGCTTGCCCTTCCGCAATGTCTCTGTGGACTACCCGCATCAAAAGGCAGAGGCTCTTCCCCTCCAGACTGGCCCTGTGACTTGCTTTGACCCATAGATTGCAGTAGAATGTGGCCGGGGTTTACTGTGTGATTTCTTTTCTTTTTTTTCTTTCCGAGACGGAATTTTGCTCTTGTTGCCCAGGATGGAGTGTGCAGTGGCATGGTCTTGGCTCGCTGCAACCTCTGCCTCCCGGGTTCAAGCGATTCTCCTGCCTCAGTCTCCTGAGTAGCTGGGATTACAGGCATGCACCACCATACCCAGCTAATTTTGTATTTTTAGCAGAGACAGGGTTTCACCATGTTGGTCAGGCTGGTCTTGACCTCCTGACCACAGGTGATCCACCTGCCTCAGTTTCCCAAAGTGCTGGGATTACAGGAATGAGCCACCGTGCCCGGCCTCACTGTGTGATTTCTAAGACTTGGCCTTAAAATGCCTTGCTGCTTCTGTCTGTGCCTTCATAGAAGGCAACACCAAGCAAGAAAGCTCAATTGAAACCACTGACTGAGAACAGCGGAGAGAATGAGAGGACATGGAAGAAAACCAAGATGGCCGCAGCCCATATCCAGCACCAAAGTCCTAGAGAAGGGAACACGGCCACTGTGGCTCCTCCAGCTGAATCGTGCCACACCAGTGTCACACCACACTGCCTGCAGCAGCCTGGTTACCGAGCTGATCCACGGTTTAAGAAAAAATAAAAAACTCATGCTGGGTGCAGTGGCTCAGGCCTGTAATCCCAGCACTTTGGGAGGCTGAGGCTGGAGGATCGTTTGAAGCCAGGAGTTGGAGACCAGCCTGGGTAACATATCAAGACCCTCGTCTCAAACCCACCCCCTCCACAAAAAAAAAAAAAAAAAAAAAAAAAAAGGCCCTGTTATTTACAACCACTAAGTTTTGGGATGAGCTGTTACTCAGCAGTAGATAAGTAAAACAGATGGGGAGTGGCTATCTGGCGTTTTGCCTGCCCGGCATAGTTTCCATCGCCATCGGATGATTTGCATCAGCTGCTTCAGGGCACACCTTCTTTCCACTCTCAGCCCTCCTGACTCAGGTCACCCAGGTGTGCCTGGGGCCACGACCTGTGTTAATCCAAAGAGACTCAATCCCAGGACTTCACTGGAACCCCGCCTGCCGGGCTGCAGAGCTGGGGGACTGGAAACTGGAACTGTGGTGGAGCAAGCCCAGCTGAGCCAGGGGCCAACGGGGCAGAGTCCGGGGCTAAAGACGGACAGGGAAGGCAGGTCCTGATGACATCCGGGAGACCCTGAGCCCGGCTGCTGCTTTGGAGAGTTCCAGCCCGCTGGACTTTTTGTCCCATGAGCCAAGAAATCCCTCCTCCCATCACCCACCACGCCCCCCCACCTTTTTCCTCTTAAGCCAGTTTGTCTTGGCTCTCTTTGCCCCCAGGGGAGTCCTGGCTAATGTAAGATGTTTTCTAATTTCATCTTATCTCACTAAGAATGAAAAGCACCAGAGAACATAATGTTAACTGCTTTCGCCAGAATAAGGATAAACAATTACATCACATTTCCAAGTGCACTGAAACTTCTTCCCTAAGACTTACCATTTTTATAAATCCATTAATCAAATATGACAGCATTCTTTTCTCATCCTCAAGAGTGAGTGCACTAAAATCAATAATTGTACATAATTAACACGGAGGTAACAGATGAAAGTTTCTACAGAAAAAAATACACAAGGGGTAAGTAATTTAACGGGTAAGGACATTTTGCATTTTCTAGATATAAAAAACTCCGTTTATTTTTCCTTTGATAAAAATACATAATCACAATTAACATAATTTAAATATGTTTCTCATCTCCCTCAAAGATGCTGTTCTCAAGATATAGTTATTAACAAGAAAAGAAAAGGTAACTTTCACTTCTTTGGAACTTGGACAGCAAGGTCTAATGTCAAATTCTGTACTTCAGGGAAATTTCACTGAACATTTTATTTAAAAAATAAATGGAATTTATGTTGAATTTCCAGCAGGGTGTGCTGGTTCACACCTGTAATCCCAGCACTTAGGAAGGCAGAGGTAGCAGGTTCGTTTGAGCCTAGGAGTTGGAGAGTTGGAGATCAGCCGGGGCAACATGACGAGACCCCCATTCTCCCCAAAAAGGAAACAAATATTTCCAATGTGCAGCAAAGTTGAAAGAATTTTCCAGTAAATACACATACCCCCCACCATCGAAATCCTGCCATCACCGTTTTGTTTTACACACAATTATCCACTCCCCTCTCCATCCATCAATCCGTCTTATTTTTTTGATACATTGTAAAGTAAATCTCAGGTCTCAGTTGCTTCTATTTAATAGAAAATTTAACACAAATATAAGAAAGAAAAAGTCAAATCGTTATAGTTTTGATTATACTTGTGAAGGCCTACCAATAGTTCCCCAAATTTATTTTTAAAAAATTTTCAGAGCCCAGAGAAAACAGAAGTCAAGGTTTTTGCTTGTCAGTTTGTTCTTGGAGAAAACGTTTTGGCAAAGATTGCCCACTGTCCTTCAATACAAATGTCCACTTTGTTCTTTTTTTGTTTTTGTTTTGAGATGGAGTTTCGCTCTTGTGGCCCAGGCTACAGTGCAATGGCGTGATCTTGGATCATGGCAACCTGTGCCTCCCAGGTTCAAGTGATTCTCCTGCCTCAGCCTCCCAAGTAGCTGGGATTACAGGCATGTGCCACTAAGCCTGGCTAATTTTTTGTATTATTATTATTATTATTTTTTAGTAGAGATGGGGTTTCACCATGTTGGCCAGGCTGATCTCAAACTCCTGACCTCAGGTGATCCACTCATCTTGGTCTCTTAAAGTGCTGGGATTACAGGTATAAGACACCACACCCAGCCCCACTTTGTTCTTAGAACAACATTCCCTAGCCTCCTTCCCAGTTAGGGGTGGCTATGGGACACTTCTGAACAATGTGATGTGAACACAAGTGACGTGTGAGCCTTCCCAGCTTTGTCCCCAAAAGAAAGCTGCTGTTCCCCATTGCCCACAGGCCAGAATGTGGACATGGTTTAGGTACGTCAGCTTCCAGGAAGAAGACAAGGACAACACCCCAGATAGGTTGGGAGAACAATAAGACAGAAATAACCTGAGTCCCTGGATGATGTTTGAAAGAAGAGCTGCCCTACCCCTACCTTCTGGTCTGTCTACTATGCACAATTTTAACAAGAGAGAAATCAACCTTCTATTTTACTTAAGCCAAAACCCGATATCTCACGAATCTAAGTGCCTTTCTGGATGCTTTTTGTGTCTTTATTTCTATTTTTGTCCAACTAAAGTCTACCGATTCCATTTTTATGAAATGCCTCGACACTTTGATTTTCATAACTACCCATGAATTCGAAAGCACAAAAAATCATAGAAGATTCTAAAACGCAGAGAAAACAAAGAAGAAATACAATTCGTCTTGTTGATGGTTAAGTTCCAAAACAATTTTCTCCATTCTTGTAACATTTTCCAGTAAATCAAGCTGCTGTGTTTAAAAATTCTTTGGGGACTAAAATTTCAGCCACAAACAAGCAGGAATTGCCCTAAGCACAGTCAAATGAAAACATATTTTTAAAATAAACAAACAAAAACCAGAAAGCAAAGCAGTGACTATTCAGCCTTTGACTGAAAGGTAACGCCTGTGGATAGGCCTCAGCCTCAAGTATACCGAGGAAATAAAGTCCTTCATGTAAGACATGTAAGCAGTTTCATTTAAATTTCAAATAATTGGCTAATAAAGAGATGAAATAAAAAGGCTATGTTACTGGATGAGTGAGCTCATTATTATACTATCTGCTGCTCTCAGAAATCTCCAAGAGACACGGAGTTTGAGTTCACTTGAATGAAACCAGCTTTTTACCCGCAACATAAATTCCTTTCTAACAACATCTGCCACATCGCTTTCTCAAGAAGGTTACCCTCAGCCTCCTTCCTCTCCTGGACTGGAATCTCTTCATTAGCAAGAATTTTAATACCCCCAATAAAGTAATATTATTCACAGTGGCAGCTTAAAGAATCATTCCCTAATGTTCTATTAGGTGGCATTGAGACCCAACTCATGTTATATTTCAGCTGTAAGCATGGCTTACTTCACGGAGTCATGCATGGTCTTGCAAACGTGCAAAAGGGCATTCAAAATGACCGGGTCCTTGGTGGGCTCTTGTTGATGCCTAGGAGACATTTAAAGGTAAAAGTCAAAGTTTTGTCCATTGACAGCACTGTAAGAGTGGATTCAGTTTTCATCCACTGTACACATTTGAAAAGCAGCAAATTATCCAGCTGGCATTTCACCCAGCCCAGTTTACCAGTAATGAGCCGTATTCTGATTGTCTCAGAATTCTTTTTCTAATTTTTGAGATGGAGTCTCACTCTGTCACCCTGGCTGGAGTGCAGTGGTGTGACCTCAGCTCACTGCAGCCTCTGCCTCCTGGGTTCAAGTGATCCTCCTGCCTCAGCCTCCCAAGTAGCTGGGACTACAGGCGTGTGCCACCACACCTGGCTAATTTTTGTATTTTTGGTAGACACAGGGTTTCACCATGTTGGCCAGGCAGCTCTTGAACTCCTGGCCTCAAGTGATCCGCCTGCCTCAATCTCCCAAAGTGTTAGGATTACAGGCATGAGCCACCACATCTGGCCCAGAATTCTTTAAATAACACGTTTGCTCTTCTACACACATGATAACTTCTCTTAACTGCAAAATCACAGAAGAACTCTTCCCTTTCCTAAACCAGGTAGGCTAAGGGCAAACCTGTTTTTTTGTTTTTTTGTTTTTTTACTATGTTTCTCATACCTTCTGAAGCTCCCCATAACCTGTCTGTCACTGTGTTTTTAACGGGCAAATTTTGCTAGGCAAAATTATTCATTTGGTTTTTCAAAAATACAAAAGGGCAAACTTAAATATTTAGGTAAGTAAATTAGGTATATTTATTCCAAGCAAATTAATTAGGAATTAATATCAATCCTTAGGAAGGAATTAATCTTTTAGAAAGATGACAAGAAAAGCTTAAAACATTTCAGCAATATCAAACTCAATTTTCCAAACTGAACCATATCTATAGATACTTAATATTTAAAGTAACTGTAGCCTTTTTTAACTTAACCTTGTCCTAAAAAATAATATATTGTACATGAAATCACATTAAACCATACACTGCCTAATACATTTAAAATAAATATATAACTTTAAAAATAAAAACAGGCCAGGTGTGCTGGCTCATGCCTATAATCCTAGCACTTTGTGAGGCCGAGGTGGGCAGATCACCTGAGGTCAGGAGTTCGAGACCAGCCTGGCCACCATGGCAAAACCCTGTCTCTACTAAAAATACAAAAAAATTAGCCAGGCATGGAGGTGGGTGCCTGTAATCCCAGCTACTCGGGAGGCTGAGGCAGGAGAATCGCTTGAACCCAGGAGGTGAAGGTTGCAGTCAGCCAAGATCGTGCCACTGCACTCCAGCCTGGGTGACAGAGTAGGCCCCTGCCTCAAAATAAATTTTAAAAATAATAAAATAAAAATAAAACCCTAGCTAGGCAAGGGGGCTCACACCTATAATCCCAGCACTTTGGGACGCTAAGGTGGGTGGATGGCTTGAGCCCAGGAGATGAAAACCAGCTTGGGCAACATAGAGAGACCCTGTCTTTACAAACAATACAAAAATCAGCTGGGTTGTAGTGGCACACACCTGTAGCCCCAGCTACCTGGAAGGCTGAGGCAGGAGGATCACCTGAGTGTGAGAAGGTCGAGGCTACAGTGAACCGTAATTGTGCCACTGCACTCCAGCCTGGATGACAGAGTGAGACCTTGTCTCAAAACAAAAACAAAAACAAAAACACCTTTTTTCCATGCACCACCTTAAAATTATTTCATGTACCATTAGCAGCCGGGCAGTTTTGGCAAACACAGATTTAATCAAAAAAATGAAAAGAACTAGATTTGATTTTTTTTCTTTTTTGTTAAAGAGCTAAATTTGAAAACTGATCACAAATTAGTCAGCTACATAACTAAACACTGAAGATGAAAACCTTTCTAGCACCGGTGCCTTCTTCATAAGTATGTACACCCTGATTTGTATCCTTAAAAATGTGACTCTTGAGGGAATTTATCAAAAGACTCCTCCTTCTAAAAACATATCAAAGTAAAATGGAGCTGCTGGCAGGGCTCATGATAACACTTGCTAGTCTATCTTCTTAAACACGAATTACAAACTTTTATCATGACTGCTGCTTTCAATGTGGCTTTCCTTCCAGTGTGGTTTTCTATATGAAATACGTACACATCACTCGGCCTCAAAGTGCACGAACTGGTTTTTTAGCAACAGGTTTCACAAGGGCACTGGGAATCAAGGCTTCCGCTGTACGCCGTGGCACTCACTTGATAAAGGCGTCCATGATGCATTTGCAAACCTCCACCCGCACACTCTCTTTTTGGAACATGTCCAGAAACGGCAGAAATTTTTCCTATAAATAAAGCAAGCACTCTATATGCAAATGACACAAGTTACTGGAAGGAATCTGTGGGTCTCTTTTTCTGTGGAGGTCAAAAAAGCAGAACAGAGGTTCATCTCTCTGAATCAGGTCAGATGAGGACTCCTCTGAAGTCAGGGAGAGGACCTGACTGGGCTTGTAAAAAGCTGTTACTGAGCCAGGCACAGTGGCTTATGTCTGTAATCCCAGCACTTTGGGAGGCCGAGGTGGGTGGATCACTTGAGGCCAGGAGTTCAACACCAGCCTGGCCAACATGGCAAAACCCTGTCTCTACTAAAAATACAAAAATTAGCCAGGCGTAGTGGTGCATGCCTGTAGTCCCAGCTACTTGGAAGGCTGAGGCAGGAGAATCGCTTAAACTCAGGAAGGCGGAGGTTGCAGTGAGCCAAGACCGCTCTGCTGCACTCCAACCTGGGCGACAGAGCAAGACTCTCAAAAATAAATAAACAAGCAAACAAACAAACAAACAGAATAAAAAGCTGTTACTGTTAAAACAACTTATATGCATTCCAGGGATTGGTGCTGGGACCAGTTAACATTTTGGTGAGCCATCCCGGCAACCTTTGATGACCATAAGCTTTTCCGGGCAAGGCAGACTTCAGTCTTTTTATGATTATATTGATGAGCAATGGAAGAAGAGTCAGAGTACAGCTGTTCAGAGATGGCCTCGAAATTGGACTGCCTTGCTCTGAATCCTAACCTCGGTGACTGTGTGACTATAAACAAGTTGCTCTACTTCTTCCTGCATCAGTTTTCTCATTTGTAAAGTGGGAATATGGTAGTTGCTCCCTTATCTGCGGTTTTGCTTTCCAGAGTTTCAGTTACCCTCGGTTAACGGCCATCCGAAAATATTAAATAGAAAATTCTAGAAATAATTCATTCATTTTTATTTTTATTTTTATAGTATTTTATTTGTTTGAGACAGAGTCGCGCTCTGTTGCCTAGGCTCGAGTGCACTGGTGCAATCTCGGTTCACTGCAACCTCAGCCTCCCCAGTAGCTGGGACTACAGGCATGCACCACCACACCTGGCTAATTTTTTGTATTTTTAGTAGAGACAGGGTTTCACCATGTTGGCCAGGCTGGTCTGGAACTCCTGACCTCAGGTGATCTGCCTGCCTCAGCCTCTGAAAGCGCTGAGCCACCACGCCTAGCCTCATTCATTTGAAATTGAGCGTTGCTCAGAGTAGTGTAATGAAATCTCACGTTATACTCTTCTGTCCCGCCCAGGCTGTGAGTCATCCCTTTGTCTAGTGTCTTCACATTGTAGACGCTACCCACTTGTTAGTCACTTAGTAGCTGACTTGGTCATTGGAATGACTGTCATGGTATCACAGCATTTTTGTGTTCAAAGAACACTTATTTTACTTAATAATGCTCCCAAAGTGCAAGAGTAGCGATGCTGGCGTATCGTTACAATTGTTCTATTTTAGCTATTGTTGTCAATCTCTTAGTGTGCCTAATTTATAAACGAAACTTTATCGTAGGTATGTATTTGTAGGATAAAACACAGTATACACAGGATTCAGCACTATCTGCGATTTCGGGCAACTCCTGGGCGGTCTTGGAACGTATTCCCCCTGGATAAGAAAGCAGCACTGTAGTGATAACTCCTACTTCCCTGCGGTGGTATGAAACTGATGTGAGGCAATACTTGTAAATTTCCAGAACAGTGCTTGGAGGGTGTTGTATGTCCAATAAATATTAGCTGCTATGATTAAAATAAAAACTCTTACAATCCTGTGAGCATACATAAATGGAACCTGGAAGAGGGAAGTGAAGGGAGAGACATAGAATGTTACTATACAGAGGATAACCTAGATTCCTACTTGCCCAGGGCACTGAGCAAACTTGAACAGACATCGCAGGATATTTTAAATTTTTGAGGGAAACATGGTAAATCTCAACTGTCAGACACTGAAACAACTACTAGCTCAATGTGTTTCATAGTTTTAACATTAGGCTATGTGATTAAAAAGCAAGTGCTCTGTGAAAATCACTGTGGAAGAGCAAAGAGAAGGCTGTCCAGAGCGTTTCAAAGGTTTGAGAAGTTGTGTAATGCCCAATAGAGCACATATCCCATAAGTAAGGAATGAAACAGAAATAATATTTTTCTTTCAGTTTTTGTGCATTATTTTTTCAAATACTGCTTAAGCTTTTAGGACATAAATATTTAAGTTGATCAGACCTAACTAACTACAAGGAACTGCTGAATATTTCTTTTGGCCTGGGGCATCATGAAAACATTACTGAGACAATGAGAACCTCTGAGCCAGGTACAAATTTCCAAAAATAATTAAGAAATGCTACTTACCACTGAGAAAAGAACTGAGAAGTCATGGAAGTGGGCAATAACTTTCTTAATTATTAACTGAAGCTGTAAAACAAACAAACAAAAATCTTATTTTTAAAAACTTAATGTTTAAAAATTTCTTTCTGGTTCACATTCTCTCATGAAAACCTGAATTTTTTTTTTTTAAAGGCAATCACTTTTCATAATTTGCAATTATAACTACAATAAGGTAAGCCTGGATTGTTCGACAAATGGTGAACTGGGCTTAGGGTAGGCTCTGTCTCAGTCTGAGTTTGCTCAATGACTCTGTACATCCTACTTTCTAGTCCTGGGGAAGTAACTGAGTCTCAGTCTCAGCTTCCTCATCTGTGAATTGGAGATCAAAGCAGTAAGGACTCAATGGAATGGTTCGTGGAAAGTCCTGATTGCAGTGCCCACCCTTAGAAAGTTCTCCATTAATGTCAGCTATTGTTATTCCTTGAATAGTGGGCAAACTTTTTCTATAAATGTCCTACATTCCACCACAACTACTCAACACTACTGTAGTGCAAGAGCAGCCATTGCCAACATTAAATGAATGTGCATTAAATGAATTTGTGTCAATAAAACTTTATTCACAAAAACGAGTGGCAGGTTACATATAGTCTATGGGCTGTAGTTGGCCAGTTCCTATTCTACATCATCATGTGGCCCTGTGTTTCTTGATTATTCACTGGAGAGGATTTGGACAGAGTTCGCTGTTAGAGTTAAAGGCCAAGGTATTACCCAAGGACGGTGGCACAGTCTGTGAGGTCCGCCTCAAAAATGCCCAGATACTGATGGTTACAGCCCCTCACTCTGCGATGCACAGTCCAGACTGAAAGGTTGACAGGGTCTTTGTCCAGGAGAGCCAGAGAGATGCTGTTTCTAAATACAATAGAACTCCCTACCTCTGGGTGCTATCAAGAAAATGTACTGACAATTTGTTTACACTAAAAAAACTGCTGTTTCAATAATTTCCAAAGACAATCTCTCGTGTTCTAAAAACAGAACAAGAAGAACGTTATGTGCCCATTCCATAATTAGGCAGCTTACTAGGTCAGTCAAGCAAAAAACTAATAAAGGACTTCAAAACTTCATCATAAACAATGCTCAAAGGCATACCATTGTAAGACACTGCAATGCTGTCTGGTTAAAATAGTTTCTGAAGCACAAAGCACCTAATCCCATTAGAATAAGAAATTTTTTGTTAACACTTAAGCACAGCTACACATAAACTGTGATTTTAAAAGATAGTTTTTCCCTTAATATTTCATTGTAAAAATGCTCAAAAATAAAGAATATTGAAAGAATTATACAAACACCCATTTATTTACCACTTAAGACTCTACAGAAGCTAGTATTTTAATTTACTTTATCTTCTCACTTATCCATCCATCTAATGATAGAATCTGTAAACACACAGCCCATCCACTTTTAAAAACCTTTTTGTTTTATTATTATTATTTTTTGAGACAGGGTCTTTCTCTGTTGCCCAGGCTGGAGTGCAGTATGGCATGATCTCAGCTCACTGCAGCCTTGACCTCCTGGGCTCTAGCAATCCTCCTGCCTCAGCCTCCAGAGTAGCTGGGACCACTGGTGCTTGCCACCATCAGCTAATTTTTGTATTTTTTTAGTAGCGACAGGGTTTCACCATGTTACCCAGGCTGGTCTTGAACTCCTGGGCTCAAGCAATCTGCCCATCTCGGCGTCCCAAAGTGATGAGATTACAAGTGTGAGTCGCTTCGCCTGCCTTTAACTTTTTATTTTGAAATAATTTCAAGGCCGGGCGCGGCGGCTCATGCCTGTAATCCCAGCACTTTGGGAGGCCGAGGCGGGCGGATCACGAGGTCAGGAGATAGAGACCATCCTGGCTAACACGGTGAAACCCCGTCTCTACTAAAAATACAAAAAACTAGCCGGGCGCGGTGGCGGGCGCCTGTAGTCCCAGCTACTCGGGAGGCTGAGGCAGGAGAATGGCGTGAACCCGGGAGGCAGAGCTTGTAGTGAGCTGAGATCCGGCCACCGCACTCCAGCCTGGGTGACAGAGCAAGACTCCATCTCAAAAAAAAAAAGAAATAATTTCAGACTTGCAGAAAAGCTGAAAGAATAGTACTGAGAACTCCCACATATTCTTTACCCAAATCCATCAATTTTTAATATTTTGCCAAATATGCTTTCTGGTTCTCTCTATGTAAAACATACTATTTTTTCCCTGAACTATATGACAGTAGATTGTATGAATCATGCCCTTATCCCTTAACACTTCCTTTTTTATTTCCTAAGAAAAATCATATTCTCTGACATTTCCACTTGCTGTTATCAAATCGGGAAAGTTAACACTGATATAATGAAATCTAATCTAATTTGAAATCTAATCCAATCTGTTGATTGTCTCAATTAGTCTTTTCTGACATTACTATTTTCCATCTTCTACGCAGGATCCAGTCTGAGATTGCACACTGCATTCCATTTTCATGTCTCTTTAGTCTGTGTTAATTCACAAGTTCTTCCATCTGTCCTTGTCATTTACGGCAATGATATTTCTGGGGTTTTTGGTTTTTTATTTATTTTACTTTATTTCATTTATTTATTTTATTTTTAGTTTAGTTCAATCAGAGACAGGATCTCACTCTGTCACTGAGGTTGGAGTGCAATGGTGCTACCATAGCTCACTGCAGCCTCCAACTCCTGGACTCAAACAATCCTTCCAGCTCTGCCTCCTAAGTAGCTGGAACTACAGGCATGCACCACCACCTCTGGCTAATTTCTTTATTTTTTAAATTTTTTGTAGAGATAGGGTCTTGCTATATTGTCCACACTGGACTCAAACTCCTGGACTCAAATAATCCTCCTGCCTCAGCCTCCCAAAGTCTGGAATTATAGGTGTGAGCCATGGAGCCTGGCCATGGTGATATTTCTGAAGAACTATAGAATGCTTCTCAATCTGGGCACGTGTGACATTCCCTTGTGATTAAATTCAGCTTATGCATTCTCCACTGAGATGCTATACAGGTGATGCTGTGTGTTTCTTAGGGTACTACATCTGCAGGCACATGATGGCCTTTTGCTCCTCATTGGTGAGATGAACTCTCATTAACTGGACTGTCCAGTGTCTGTGCTGTATAGTCACTATTTTCCCCATTGCATTGATACCTGCTCAGTAGGAAGACCTTTTGAGATATGCAAATATCCTGCTCCTCATTGAACTATCAAAATCTCTGTCCTCCTCAATGCATGCAAAACTCTTCCCCCAGCTTTAACAGACACCGATAATTCTTACCTAAAGGAAGACAATTCTTGTCTTTACTGTGATGGCTGCAAAATGGTGATTTTTCCAATTCTACCATTTCTTTCACATTTCTCAATCCGCTCATCTATTTATCTATTCGTCATAAGGATGGGCTCTTGGATTCCTATTTTATTCAATGGGCTATAATCCGTTACTGTCCTAATTCCATTTGATCCTCAAATTGGGAGCAAGTGAGAGTCCCTTCAAGCTGCTCTTATACGCTTTTCACATGCCCCATTAGTGGTTTTTTTTTTTTTTTTTTTTTGAGACCGCGTCTCTCTCTCACCCAGGCTGGAGTGCTCACTGCAACTTCCACATCCAAGGCTCAGGTGATCCTCCCCTGTAGCATCCCAGGTAGCTGGGACTATAGGCATGCACCACCAGGCCCAGCTAATTTTTGTATTTTTTGTAGAGATGGCCCAGGCTGGTCTTGAACTCCTGGACTCAAGTGATCGGCCCTCCTTGGCCTCCCAAAGTGCTGGGATTACAGGCATGAACCACCACACCTGGCCTCACTGAACTCTTTAGAAGCAAAATGTGACATAATGTATGCAACTTATTATCAAATAATTCTGGAAAAAAACATATACACATACATGTATACATGTGTGGACATGCGTTAATGATAAAGCATATGTGGTGAAATATTAACAGCTGGCCAGACGTGGTGGCTCACACCTGTAATCCCAGCACTTTGGGAAGCTGAGGCGGGTGGATCACGAGGTCAGGAGATCAAGACCATCCTGGCTAACACAGTGAAACCCCATCTCTCCCAAAAATACAAAAGTTGATTTAACTAAAAATACTTGCAATTTACTTACTGGTGACAGCAATGATGACAACGTTTGTTGGGCATTGACCATGTGCCAGGCCACTGTGTGAGGGCTTCACTTCATCCTCGCAGTGACTCTCAGGTAGCACTATTACTATCCCCATTTCACAGTTGAGAAAACTGGGGCACAACAAGGTTAAGTAACCGATCAAAGGGCACACAGCAGCAGGTGCGGTGGCTCACGCCTGTAATCCCAGCACTTTGGGAGGCCGAGGCGGGCGGATCATGAGGTCAGGAGATCAAGACCATCCTGGCTAACAAGGGGAAACCCCATCTCTACTAAAAATACAAAAAATTAGCTGGGCATGGTGGTGCATGCCTGCAGTACCAGCTACTTGGGAGGCTGAGGCAGGAGAATGGCGTGAACACGGGAGGCGGAGCTTGTAGTGAGCTGAGATCACGCCACTGCACTCCAGCCTGGGAGACAAAGCGGGACTCCGTCTCAAAAAAAAACAAACAAAAAACAGAGGGCACATGGCTAGGATATGGCAGAGCTATGATTCAAACACAGGATTATCTGCCTTTATAGCATGCCCCATGCAAAATGGCTATTTAATTCAACGGAACAAAATTCCTAACAATGTTGAAATGAGAAATGCAAATCTGTTACCTGGGGGTAGGAATCTTCAAATGCACGATCTGGAGTCATGTGCTTGATGACATCCGCCAAAACAGTATTCACCTCTCGTTTCTAAGCAGGGAAAAGGAACCAAATCTGTATTAGACACTGTATGGCAATCGCTGACCATGTTCCTGGGAGAAAGGACTAACGTATTCAGAATACATCACACATCTTCCAGGAAATCGTTTTCAATATTCTGCTGAAAATAACAGAAGGGAGGAGATCCCACTCATATCACCTAGTCTAGTACCACAGCCCCACACCTAGTCAGGACTAAACGCTGTTCTCAAAGGTTCTGGGGCTTTACATTGTCCCTGCTTTCCCCGAGCGGTGGTCAAATCGGCCATGTCTCTTTCCGCCTGCTTGTCCCAGGTCCTCCCTCAAGTGCCTGCAGAGAGAACAGTGAAACACTGTGGAAGAGTGCAGGCTCACCCTTGCAAGCCGTCTGATCTAACTGCTCACTGTTCACTTTTGCCACCTTTAGTAGGAGTCAGCCAACTGCAGCCCAATCCAGCCCAGTGCCTGTTTTTACAAGGCCCACAAGCTAAGAATGGCTTTTAAGTCTCTATAATTAACTGCTGATTTATGAGAATTACAAAAGGCAGAAGAGCACGTCAGACACCATCACAAGGATGCAACAGGAAAAATCCAGTCTTTACAACTCTACAGGGCAAAAGACCCAATTTCTTCAACAAATAAATTATAGGGAAAGAAAGGCGAAGGAGAGAAGGAGACGGTTTGAAAGATAACTTACACATCAAAAGTATCCTAAAATGCCTATTGCAATGTAAAAGCCTTATTTTCAACCAGATTTCAACAAATAAACTTTTTTAAAAAATGAGATAATTGGGGAAATCAGAATATTGACTGGTATTTATGATATTAAATAATTAGTAACTCAGCCACGTGAGGTGGCTCACGCCTATACTCCCAGCACTTTGGGAGGCCGAGGATGGACTGCTTGAGGTCAGGAGTTCAAGACCAGCCTGGCCAACATGGAGAAACCCTGTCTCTACTGAAAATACATAAAATTAGCTGGGTGTGGTGGTGTACGCCTGTAGTCCTAGCTACTCAGGAGGCTGAGGCAGGAGAATTGCTTGAACCCAGGAGCCGGTGGTTGCAGTGAGCTGAAATCATGCCACAGCACTCCAGCCTGGGCAACAGAGTGAGACTCTGTCTCAAAAAAAAAAAAAAAGCAATTTTTTTCCTTAGAATAACGTATTTAGATTTGGTTTAAGGAAGGGAACCCTCCAACCTGGGCAATACAGCAAGACCCCATCTCTACAAGTAAAAGAAATTTAGCCAGGTGTACTGGCATGTACCTGTGATTCCCACTACTCGGGAGGCTGAGGTAGGAGGACTGCCTGAGCCCAGGAGGTCGAGGCTGGAGTGAGTCACGATCGTACCACTGCACTCCAGTCCAGGCAACAGAGTGAGATCCTGTTTGTCAATCAATCAATCAATGGAATCCTTATATTTTTACAGATGTGCTGAAATATTGACAGATGAAATGATACAATGTCTGAGATTGCTTCAAAATATTCCAGGGGTCGGGGGACACGGTAATGATATAAATCATACAAGATTTGTCATAAGTTGATAATTCCTGATTGATGGGTACAAGGGAGCGAGTCTGTTTAAATTTCCATAATAAAATGTAAAATAAAAATAGGACCAAAAAAACACACAAAAATCAATGGACCAACATTTACCTAATGCTCAAAACCAGGCAAAATCAATGTTAGTGTTAGAGGCCAGGATGGTGTCTACCTGCACCTCCCCAAAGGCTGAGGTGTGACAGCAAGTGACAGTTCTGGGGGTTCTGTGGGGTCGTTATTTCCTATTTCCTACTCTGGACAGTGATTACATAGTCGTACCTTGTGAAAATTCATTGAGCCAGCAAACTTATGATATGTGCACGTTTTTGCATGTGTGCTTGGCTCAGTATATTTGGGCTTCTCTACCAAAATACCATAAACCGGGAAGCTTGAAACAACAGAAATTTAATTCTCACAGTTCTGGAGGCTGGGAAGTCCAAGATCGAGGTAGATTTGGTGTCTGGTGAGGACCCATTCCTCACAAATGGCATCTTCTCCCCAAGTCCTCATGGGGTGGAAGGGGACAGTGAGCTCCTCGGGACTTATTTGTATTATTACTTTGGTTTTGAGGCAGAGTCTCACTCTGTCACTCAGGCTGGAGTGTAGCAGTGCAATCTTGGCTCACTGCAGCTTCTGCCTCCCACATTGAAGCGATTCTCCTCCCTCAACCTCCTGGGTAGCTAGGACTACAGGCACGTGTCACATACCCGGCTAATTTTTTTTGTTATTTTTAGTAGAGATGGGGTTTTACCATGTTGGCCAGGCTGGTGGGCTTTTTTTATTATAAGGGCATTAATCTCCTTCATAAGGACTCTGCCCTCATGACCTAATCTCCTCTCAAAGGTTCCACCTCCTAATACCATCATCTTGGGGGCTAGGATTTCAACATATGAATTTTGGGAGGGCACAGACATTCAGACCATAGCAATGCTATACTTAAATTTTTAGGACTTGATTAAAAATAAACAAATTACTCCGGCAAGGGTTTTGAACCCACTTCTATCTGCTTCTAAAGTCTCTGCTCTTTGAGAAGCCTAGTATTCCCCTAACTGTGGTTCTAGTCTATGCCTAGGGAAAGAAACATTTGCTTAGGAAAAGAATTACATGCCAGTCAAACTGTTTGGGAAGTGCTGCTTACTAGACTCTGATGTACAGTCGCAATGCACTTTAGCATATAAACATCTAAGGTATCCTATGGTAAAAAAAAAAAAAAAAAATTGGTTTAACTTTGTATAATGCTGCATTTTCCAAATGTAAACATGGAACAGTTATTTTTTGTTATAGTACACATATTAATGATCCCTCACACTTTATCATGAAGAATGTAATTTTTATAAATTATAACAGCAAGCACCATGGTCCAATGCCTCAATACCTAAACTAGGCTAATTCACTATTATAAACATGAAAAAATCTAATTCTTTCAAAAACAACACCACAGTCACACATACCGTGAAATGCTTGCAGGTGTATTCTACCCACACTTCGGCACAATTAATGTAGTCCTACAAAGAAAAAGGAAAGCATCGTAACGTTAAGTACAACATAGTATGCCTTATAGCAAACAGGAAGCTTCAGGTGGCTCTGTTCAATGGTCGGAAACGGGAATTTCCTTTTGCTAATTACTGGCTTAAAGGCTGATCTTTAATTTAGGAATATCCTATTAACGATATTTTCAAACCTAAATCTTACGAACTGTTACATTTTGGATGCCCACTATAAAGTTAAGTGATCTTTTATAAAGTTTCAAATATCTGTAATGGTATGCATTTTTTTAAGTTTTATTTTTTATGGCAGTTCTGAATGCATGATCATGTAATTTTATACTTTTAGCACATCTTAAGGCTGTGAGAATTGAATTTTTAAAAATCAAAGAAATTGCATCTTTAAAGCTATCCATTCTCTATTACAGGTAAACAGATAATACAATTATAATAAATAGATTTCTTTAGGGAAAAATGTATAACTAATGAAAATATAATTTCCATTTTTTAGTTCAAATAGAGACAGGGGTCTTACTATGTTGCCCAGGCTGGTCTGAAACTCCCAGCCTCAAGTGATCCTCCTGACTCAGCCTCCCAAAGTGCTGAGATTACAGGTGTGAGTCACCATGTTAGGCCCGGAGGGGTAATTTTTTAAAAGAGTAGATGCCAAAACTTGGACAAAAAGTGGTTGATTTAAAGTTTAAATGGCAGGCCGGGCAAAGTGGCTCATGCTTGTAATCCTAGAACTTTGAGAAGCCGAGATGGGTAGATATTTGAGACAGCCTGACCAACATGGTGAAACCCAGTCTCTACTAAAAATACAAAAATTCGCTGGATGTGGTGGCACACACTGTAATCCCAGCTACTCAGGAGGCTGAGGCAGGAGAATCGCTTGAACCCGGGAGGCAGAGGTTGCAGTGAGCCGAGATGGCGCCATTGTACTCTAGCCTGGGCAACAGAGCAAGACTCCATCTCAAAAAAAAAAAAAAAAAAAAAAAAGGCAAAACGGCCACCCACCTGTGGGTTCTTCAGCTTAGTGATAACTTTCCAAGCTTCGTTGAGAATCTGAAGTCGGTCACTCTCAGGAGGATCAGCCAAGGCCAAGTTTAACCCCAGTGATCGAAAAAGGAGATGCTAAGAAAAAAATCAAACCATCGTGTTATGGAAATTTTAAATCAAAGTAACTTGAAGCTCAAAGAAAAGGAAGAAAAGAGAAAAGGTAGTAATGTTTAATCCTTCTTGGGGCTACTCTTCCAACAACCTCCTTCTGAAGTTCTATCAAACATATCTGCCCCAGCTACGCTGAGAGGCTCACACAGAGTTAGCTACATCTGTTGGTCTAATTTGGGGCCATAATATTCCACTGAACAAAGTTTTTCACAAATAATGAATGAACATATATTCTTTTGTTTGTTTTGAGACAGGGTCTCACTCTGTCATCAGGCTTCATGACATAATCATGGCTCACTGCAGCCTCGACCTCCTGGGCTCCAAGCGATTCTCCTACCCTAGCCTCCCAAGTACCTGGGACTACAGGAATGCACCACCACACCCAGCTAATTTTTGATTTTTAGTAGAGATAGGGTCTTGCTATGTTGCCAGGCTGTTCTCAAACTCCTGGCCTCAAATGATCCTCCTGCGCTGGCCTCCCAAATGCTAGGATTATAAACATGAGCCACTGTGCCCAGCCTGATATATTCTTATATACATCAGACCAAAGTCTTTCTTAAATCCTTCATAGTGAGCTAATTTGATAGACTTAGGGCTCATGGGGGCCTGAAGCCTAGCAACCACATGGGGTCTGACAATCCCAATCTCTAACTCATCTTCCATTGCGTTCCTCAGACACAGAGCCTTCGCCTGTGTTCCTGCTGGCCCATGCTGTTCCCAACACCGGACTGTCTCTCAAGAGCTATGGGATACACACCGCTTATTTGTGTCCTGTTGAGCATGAAGTCAAGAGCCTACCTTGGGGAAACCAGATTCATCACACTCTTTAATCATGCCAATGAAATCCATAGACCTTGTGGCGATGAACTCAGCCCGGAAGGCAGACATCACGGAATTCAGCAGCAAGGCACTGCAAGACACAGATCCCCGAGTCAGCCTGGCTTCTCCTCAATCAAAACTGCTTTAATTTTTGGGTATATATTGCCAGGAAGGATGACTAACAGCTCTTTAGTGGCAGGGTTGGAGGAAAAAAAAAAAGACCAGAGTAAAAAGGTAAACTGGAAAGACTAACCCAGTGTCCTGCACATATTAGAAACTCAATAAATGTTGAATTAACTGGATGTTTAGATGGGTGGATGGATAGATGGCAGGATGAATAGACAGATCAGCAAGTGATCCAGTTCATTTAAGAAGAGCCAGCATTCAATAAGCTGGTGCACTAATGAGACAGAACATTAAGTAACAATATTGATCCATGTTGTAAATATATATCCACATCGTTTATGTAAGAGTTTTTTTTTTTTTTGAGATGGAGTCTCACTTTGTTGCCCAGGCTGGAGTAAAGTGTCACGATCTTGGCTCACTGCAACCTCTACCTCCTGGGTTCAAGTGATACTCCTGCCTCAGCCTCCCAAGTAGCTGAGATTACAGGCATGCGCCATCATGCTTGACTAATGTTATGTATTTTTAGCAGAGACAGGGTTTCACCATGATGGTCAGGCTGGTCTCGAACTCCTGACCTCAGGTGATGCACCCGTCTCAGTCTCCCAAAGTGCTGGGATTACAGGCGTGCACCACCATGTCCGGCCAGTTTATGCAAGAGATTTCTTGGGAAAGAGATCTTATGTTATAGGCACTAGGCTCTGGGGACACAGTGGTGAACAAAGCCCATGCAAGGATATTTCCATGTATCTACCACTAAAAGGAAAGCAGAGAGACAACCTTATATTCATGACAGTCAGGGAGACGAACTTCATCCTAGCCCAACCACCTACCACAGCCCCATGGGGAAATAATTATTATTATTTTCTCTTTTTTTTGAGACGGAGTCTTGCTCTGTTGCCAGGCTAGAGTGCAGTGTCATGATCTCGGCTCACTGAAACCTCTGTCTCCTGGGTTCAAGCAATTCTCCTGCCTCAGTCTCCTGGGTAGCTGCGACTACAGGTGTATGCCACCAACCCCGGCTAGTTTTTGTATTTTTAGTAGAGATGGGGTTTTGCCACGTTGGCCAGATTGGTCTCGAACTCCTGACCTCAGGTGATCCACACACTTCAGCCTCCCAAAGTGCTGGGATTACAGGCGTAGGCCACCACGCCCGGTTGGAAAGAACTATTATTATACCTATTTTACAGATGAGGAGACAGAGGCACAGAGAGGTCAGGCAAGCGGCCCAAGGTCACAGGGCTAAGACAGAACACAGCCAAGGTCTGAGGCCAGGCAACTGGACTCCAGCGTTCTAAACCTCCATGCGATCCTGCCTCTCTCTCTTCAGCTCTATGCCCAGGTAAGCAGGCCAAGCTCAAAAATAGCAGCCAATGCCATTTTCAAACTCATGCTTTATGAATCTTAAAATACTTACTTGTTTCCTAGTTTCTTACACCTTTCCATCATCTCGGTCAGCAGAGCCTATTATGTTAAAAATAATAATAATTAAAAAATCAGGTTGGAGGAGCTAAAGTAACATTTCTAAGAGATTTCCAAAGTCAAACTCTAAAATGAATGTAGCCACATGTCCATTAAGATAATTCTCAGTGTCTGGTAGGGATGGGGAGGCTAGGGGAGAAAAAATTCACTTTCATGGCATTTAGTGTAATAAATAGAAGCTAGGGGCCGGGCACGGTGGTTCACACCTCTAATTCTAGCATTTTGGTAGACCGAGGCGGGTGGATCACTTGAGGTCAGGAGTTCGAGACTAGTCTGGCCAACATGGTAAAACCCTGTCTCCACTAAAAATACAAAAATTAGCCAGGTGTGGTAGCGGGTGCCTGTAATCCCAGCTACTCAGGGGGCTGAGGCAGGAGAATCACTAGAACCCAGGAAGTGGAGGCTGCTATGAGCTGAGATCATGCCACTGCACTCCAGCCTGGGGGACAGAGGGAGACCCTGTCTTAATCAATCGATCGATCAATCAATAGAAGCTGGGACCCTGGCATCAGGCACACTTGGATTCAAATCCAGCCTCATCAACTACCAACAATGAGACTTCGGAAGAGTTGGCAACTCTGTCGAACCTGAGTCTCCTTATTGCAAGGCTACAAGAGGTACCATCTCAACTGCGGGGTTACCAGGGCACAAATGAGAATGACAATTACTCTGCTCTCTACCTCTTTTGTACCCCACATTCTTCCCCATTTCAGGAGGTGCCCAGGGTGCACTTAGTAATATGAGCAACAAACACCAGGCTGTCCACCAGCCACGGCGAGAAACACTTTGCACTCACGATCTTACCTCTCCCAACCACCCTTGAAGCAGGGGCTCTATTCTCCCATTTCACAGATGAAAAACAAAGCCACAAATAGCAATGTTTTTCACCCAAGGTCGCACAGTTAGTGACGGCAGCCAGACATGAACCTGGACAGGCTGGGATCAAAGGCCACATTCTTTGATACATTTCTTCTCCAACACAGTTTGAAGTCTATTTTTTCCCCCAAAAGGAAGTAGATTTTTTTTAAACTCATTGGAATACTGTTAATGGCTTTGGAGCTATCTTAAGATAATTACATATCTTTAAAAGAGCTCCTGTTTTTAAGAAAATCAATGGAAGAAGGATCATTTAGGGCAGTGGTTTGGAGAAGGTCAAGCCCAAGACCAGAGGCAATGACAGGACACTGAGCACTGCCCAGGTTTCAGGCTAAGCCCTTGACTTTCCTTTACTCTATTACTCTTCACTATGTCCTTATGAGGTCCATGGAACATTATCCCCATTTTACAGATGAAAAAGCCAAAGGTTAAGCCACTTCCTAGTAAGTGGTAAAATGGGATTTGTGCAGGCCAGGGGTGGTGGCTCATGCCTGTAATCCCAGCACTTCGAGAGGCTGAGGTGGGAGGATCGCTTGAGCCCAGGAATTCAAGACCAGCCTGGGCAATATAGTGAGATCTCACCTCTACATAGATTTTTTATTTTTTTTTGAGACAGTCTTGCTCTGTCACCCAGGCTGGAGCACAGTGGCGCAATCTCGGCTCACTGCAACCTCTGCCTCCCGGGTTCGAGCAATTCTCCTGCCTCAGCCTCCTGAGTAGCTGGGACTACAGGCGTGTGCCATCACGCCTGGCTAACTTTTTGTATTTTTAGTAGAGACAGGGTTTCACCATGTTGGCCAGACTAGTCTCGAACTCTGCCCGCCTCAGCCTCCCAAAGTGCTAAGATTACAGGAGTGAGCCACCATGCCAAGCCATAAAATTTTTTAAAAAATTAGTTGGGTGTGGTGGTATATCCTGTGGTCCCAGCTACTCAGGAGGCTGAAGTGGGAGGATCAATTGAGCCCAGGAGGTCAAGACTGCGGTGAGCTGTGATTGTGCCACTGCACTCTAGCCTGGGCACCAAAGTGAGACCTTGTCTCAAGGAAAAAAAAAAAAAAAGACATGGTGGGCACGATGGCTCATGCCTGTAATCCCAGCACTTTGGGAGGCTGATGTGGACAGATGGCTTGAGCTCAGGAGTTCACGACCAGCCTGGGCAACATGGCGAAACCCCATCTCTAAAAAAAAATTTAAAAATTGACCAAGCATGGTGGTGTGTGCTTATAGTCCCAGCTTCTCAGGAGGCTGAGGAGGGGGCATCACTTGAGCCTGGGAGGTTGAGGCTGCAGTGAGCCAAAATTGCACCACTGCACTCCAGCCCGAGCAACAGAGCAAGACCCTGTCTCAAAAATAAAATAAAATAAAAGTAAAAAAAATAAAAAATTAAAAGTAAAATAAAATAAAACGGATCTATATCTAAGTCTGGACCCAAAGTAAAAAAATAAGTGTTCTTAAATGCAATTCCACTCTTTCTGGTGGTGCTCCTCTCTGTCATAAGTGTTGCCCTTCTCTGTCGTAAGTGTTGCCCTCTCTGTCATAAGTGTTGCCCTTCTCTGTCGTAAGTGTTGCCCCCTCTGTCGTAAGTGTTGCCCCTCTCTGTCGTAAGTGTTGCCTGAATAAGTGAGAGGTGACGTTGGAGATACTGTTGGAATCCCTACCCCCAGAACCCTGACTTTATTCAGATTTCCATCTATGCCTCACATAAACTAGGTTGGCTTCTGTCATGAACTGAATTATATCTCCCTTAAATTGTTTGTTGGAGCCCTAACCCCCAGTATCACTGTACAAGGTTAAATGGAGTCTTAAGGGTGGGATCCTAATCCCACAGGACTAATGTCCTTGTAGGAAGAGACAACAAGGATGTATGTACACAACGGAAAAGCCATGTGAGGACACAGCAAGAAGCTGGGAGTTTCCAAGTCAAGGAGAGAGGCCTCACCAGAAACAAACCTTGCTGGCCCCCTTGATCTTGGTCTCCTAGCCTTCAGAACCATGAGGAAATAAAGTCTGTTGTTTAAGCTCCTAGTCTGTGGTATTTTGTTATGGGAGCCCGAGCAGACTAATACAGACCCAAATCTATAATAGCGGGTCTCGTTCCCCTTGCCCATGACCCATTTCTAGCTGCTGAGACAGGATGGGAAGTCTTTGAGGGATTTGGAGAAAGGTTTCCTGTTCTTAAACGAGGACCCAAGAATCAAGATTCCCTGGATGTTGTCAGCTCTGGACGTGACGCTTGGAATGGCTGCCCCCACCTTGCTGCTAATCAGCGTCAGCAGAGCAAAAAGATGGACCGAAGCTGCCCACCCAAGAGCCTCCACTTGTTGTGGAGGAGGACACATGGAATTATCTGTGGAGGCCAGACCAGTTAGATGTTTGTTCCTTATAGCCAAAAGCATCCTAGCTGGTGAACACAACTGACCACATCATAAATGGCTTCCCTAACCCACTCTTGGGTATTTACATTTGAAAAGTCATTCTTAAAGACCAATAGCCAAGGGGCCTTCGGAAAAGGCTAAGAAAGGAAAAGAGAGATTCTGTGTAATCACCACATTGATACTCCCTGACACACAGAAATAATCATTCAACGCCTACCTAACAAGCAACTTGAGTATACAGTTGACCCTTGAATAACATGGTTTTGAGTTGTGCGGGTCCACTTATATATGGATTTTTTTCAACCATATGCTGATTGTGAGATACAGTATTTGTGAGATGCCAAACTCAAGTATACATGGGTTCCATAGGGCCAACTGTGAGACTGTGAGACTTGAGTATGCGTGGATTTTGATAGACGTGGAGGCTGGGCATAGTGGCTCACACCTGTAATCCCAGCACTTTGGGAGGCTGAGGCGGGTGGATCATGTGAGGTAAGGATTTAGAGACCAGCCTGGCCAAGACGATGGGACCTTGTCTCTACTAAAAATACAAAAATTAGCTGGGCGTGGTGGTGTGGCTGCAGTCCCAGCTACTTGGGAGGCTGAGGCAGGAGAATCGCTTGAACCCGGGAGGCAGAGGTTGCCGTGAGTGGAGTCGGGCCATTGTACTCCAGCATGGGCGACACAGCAAGACTCTATCTCAAAAAAAAAAAAAAAAAAAAAATATACGTGGAGATCCCAGAATCAATCCCCCAAGTATTCCAAAGGATGACTACAGCAGCCATTGTTCCAGACACTGAGGGTAAGATGGGAGGAAAACAGCCAGAAACCCATGCCTTCGTGAGGTTTACTCTATCTCATATACATGCACGTGCACACACACAGGCACACACACACACACACACATATAAATGAGACCTCCTGGCCCACCAATTCTGGAAAGATTAAAAGGTTATGAAAGATTCTTACCATTAAGACAAGATAAATGCTTAAAAAGTTCCCTCTCTCACAAAAGATGAATGCACTAAAAATGCATCCAAGAATATAACTATAAAAAACCAAAGGCTCTGCTGTCATAAAGGAACTTAGGAATACATGTAAGTGTCCAGAGAGCCAAACGTTATAGATCCCTGGGCAGGTCTGCTGGAGGTTACTGATTTTTTCCCCTCCAAGAAGTGACAGAATTGATCATCTTTGGCAAGAACACGATGAACAACAGCTCAAAGCAGACTGGGATTGAAACAAGCCCTTTGGCTGGGATCAACCATTGAAAAAGCAGCTCGGCATATTTCTTTCATTTTCACACACACCAGAACTTGAAGATTCAGAAGATTCACAAGGCAGGCATTTGCTTGGTGTGCTGGTTTGTGTTTTAGGCTTTTGTTATTGTTGCTGTTGGCCCTGCATGGCACTTATTTATGTAACATTTCATTGTTTTTCTAAAAATTGTAAAAATAAGAAATGCTTTATAGACAAAAGTTCCAACAACATTGACATGCATCAAGAAAGATGTGAGTGTCCCCTCTTCCCAACTTCCACATCCTAGAAATCACCACTGTCAACACTTCGGTGTTTATCTAGGACTTTGATGTTCTTATTTAGAACTCTGCCTATGCCTTATGGGTATATATTATTACAGAAGCCTAGTTTTGTTTTCACACAATGGGATACTCTTACAAATACTGGGCTGGAGATATTTAAATACGGCCTTTTTTCATGGAGAATCTAGATGACCCTCTCTTCTCCGTGTTATTACACAAATCTACCTCACTCTCTTAATCCATGGCGATTTAATCCACGCCATGGATATAATATCATTTTTCAAACTGCCCCTAACTGACAGATGTTTTTGTTTTCTGTTTAATTTTTAATTATTTTTATTTATTTATTCTTTTTTGAGACAGAGTCTTGCTCTGTCACCCAGGCTGGAGTGCAGTGTGGTGCAATCTTGGCTCACTGCAACCTCTACCTCCTGGGTTCAAGTAATACTCCCACCTCAGCCTCCCAAGTAGCTGGGATTACAGGTGCACACACCACCACACTCAGCTAATTTTTGTATTTTTAGTAGAAACGGGGTTTCGCCAGGTTGGCCAGGCTGGTCTCAAACTCCTGACCTCAAGTGATCTGCCCACCTTGGCATCCCAAAGTGCTGGGATTACAGGAATATGCCACCATGCCCGGCCTAATTTTTATTTTTTGTGGGAACATAGTAAGTGTATATATTTATGAGGTACATGAGATGTTTTGATACAGGCACACAATGCATAATAATCGTATCATGAAGAATGGAGCATTCATCCCAATTGAAGGATTTTTAAAAGACTTTTTATTCTGAATTAACTACAGACTCATCAGTAATTGAAAAAAACAGTAGAGAGAAGTCCTGGGTACCCACCACCCAGCTTCTCCCATTTACATAACTATAATACATTATTAAAGCTAGGAAATTGACACGGGTATAATACAACTAACTAGACAATTTCACCAGGTTTTACATGCATACTTTTCTGGGGAAGAAGAATATGTCTTTGTGTCTAATTCAATGACCATTTTACCAATATACATGGAGTTTGAGAACGAAAGCCATATTTAACTGTTGGATTTTTTTTTTTTTTTTTTTTGAGACAGAGTCTCGCTCTGTCGCCCAGCCTGGAGTGCAGTGGTGCAATCTCAGCTCACTGCAAGCTCCACCTCCTGGGTTCAACCATTCTCCTGCCTCAGCCTCCCAAGTAGCTGGGACTACAGGTGCCCGCCACAACACTCAGCTCATTTTTTTGTATTTTTAGTAGAGACGGGGTTTCACTGTGTTAGTCAGGATGGTCTCCACTTCCTGACCTCGTGAACTGCCCGTCTCAGCCTCCCAAAGTGCTGGGATTACAGGTGTGAGCCACCACGCCTGGCCAACTGTTGGATTTTTTAAGGCGATCTCCAGATTAGGTTATTTATAATTATTTACCCACTTCAAAAGTACAGCAAGAGAGAAAAGAAGTCAGGCCAAGGCTGCAATTCTATTTTAAACATCCTATGGCGCCTTATTATGGCAGCCCAAACGGACTAAGACATGCCTTGATTTTTTACCTTGGATTTCAACTTCAATTTGAAATTCTGTAGATGAGATATTCACAACTAAAGGTATTATTCCTTTCCCTCTCTCATCTCTCTGCCCTGTATATTACCAACTGCTGCAGCCGAGCTTTACCATCCCCTATTTTGAAGTCTTGGCCTCTGATGGATACACACAGCTCTACTCTGCAGGTGACTCATAGCAGCCACTATCAAAGAGCTTTTAGGCACCAAATTGTCACATGCACCTTTAACACCACCTTCCATACCGACATCAATTCTTCTGCAGTTTGAAAATGATTATTTTTTTTAACAAGACACTGCATGTCCCTTATTTAAGTGTGCCCAAGAATCAGAGTTTATTATTATTCAGGTGACCTAATTTTTTAATCACTTATTCTAGTGCAATAATGATTTCCTAGAGCTTACTCCCAGGAAAGCTCTATTCCCAGCTTCTGCCATCCTTTGAGATGACTGGGGCTTAAAATAAAAAGAAGACTGTCTTGTGACATGTACCTTTTGTGTTTAAATCTGATTTTGCCTTTCACTAAAATAAGAAAAAAAAAATAAGCGTTCTCATTTCACCACGTCAATCCTGCTTGTATGTTTCCGTCATTCAGTGGAATACCAAGAAAACAGTCAAGTTCGTGGTACCCTTCCCAGAAGTGGGGGACAGCATGTGGTTGCTCAAACCATGCTGAGGACCACAGAGAACCAGCAGCAAAATTTCAAACAATCTTCCCTTTATAGTGGCTTGATTTAAAATCAATTTACTTAATGGTAAGACTATTCACCTGAAGTACAGGATGTCCGTTTTTCTCGTCATAATTCAGCATCTCAAAAAGTAAAAATGTAAGCAGTGCAAACTTGTTGAAAAGTTAGGAAACAGATGGGCGGCTGGGCACAGGGGCTCGCATCTGTGATCCCAGCACTCTGGGAAGCCGAGGCGGGAGGATCACTTGAGGCCAGGAGTTAGAGATCAGCACGAGATCAACAAGGTGAAACTGCATCTCCACTAAAAATACAAAAATTAGCTGAGTGTGGTGGTGTGTGCCTGTAGTCTCAGCTACTCACAAGGCTGAGGCATGAGAATCGCTTGAACCTGGGAGGCAGAGGTTGTAGCAAGCCGAGATTGCACCAGTGCACTCCAGACTGGGAGACAGAGCAAGACTCTGTCCCAAAGGAAGAAAGAAAAAAACAGATGGGCAAAGAAAAATAAGTTACGATGGCCCCAAATCTCACACTCCAGTGATATTCTGTCACTTCTCCTTCCCAACTCTCTTGCACAGATATAAAAACCATGCCTGCGAGTACTAAGACTTGGGGCGCTACACTAAGCACCATAGATACAGTGACTTCTTTGATCCTTGCAAGAGACTAGAAAATAGGAATCATTAATATTGCTCCCATTTTACAGATGAAGAAAGAAGACTCAGAGTGGTTAGAAATAAGTTACCTGCTCCCTACTCTATCACAAGAGCTGTAACGGAGCTGAGATGCAGACCCAGGCACCCCGACTCCAGAGCCCACTCCTGAACACTAGGCCACACTGCCACTTACCACACACACAGCAACGTAACTTTCTTTTTGCACTTAGCCATATACCATGAATACCCTTACATCAGTATGCACAGATCATCAGGAGTCTCCATCACTTTAAATGGCCCCATTAACATCCCACTGAATGCACATACCATAAGCAGTCCTCTCTGATGCTTGCCTCCAATTTTGCACTACTGTGAACAGACCGTGTGTGCATCTCTGTGTGTGTTTATAATCATTATGCACTTGTCTAACTTACAGGATAAATTCTTAAAAGTGGGATAGCTCAGTTAAAGTCATGTCCTTTTTTTTCCCTTTCCAGACAGCTTTCAACATGTGTTGGCAACATCTAGGAAAAGGCAGATATCCTTCAACTTTGCTTTGCTCTACGTGTCCCTGTTTTGTAGTCTCTCTTTTCTTTGCAACTATCAAATAAAGACAAAGGAAGCTTCATCTATCACAGTCTTTTTTTTTTTTTTTTTTTTTTTTGGAGACAGTCTGGCTCTGTCACCCAGGCTGGAGTACAGTGGTGCAATCGCGGCTCACTGCAACCTCCGCCTCCCAGGTTCAAGTGATTCTCTGCCTCAGCCTCCTGAGTAGCTGGGACTACAGGCACATACTACCATGCGCAGTTAATTTTTGTATTTTTTGTAGAGACAGGGTCTCTACAAAAGAGCAGCCTGGGCAACATAGCAAAACTCCATCTCTACAAAAAAATACAAAAAATTAGCCAGGCATGGTGATATACGCCTATATATCCATGTTAGCCAGGCTGGTCTTGAACTGCTGGCCTGAAGTGAACTGCCCACTTCAGCCTCCCAAAGTGCTGGGATTACAGGCATGAGCCACTGTGCCCGGCCTATCAGAGTCTTCATGACAGTTTGAATTGGTTGGTGTTCTACTAAAACTGCTTCTCAGTTTTGGAAAAGAAAAAAAAATACATGTCTGCTATAATTCTGATGTCACTTCAATTCCTGACAATACTCCAACTGGCAAAAAAGAAAAAAAGGAAAGAAAAATAATCTTATAAAAGAAATTAAGCATCTGAGCTTTATTTTCCTTCCATAAAATACCTGCTCTACAGACTTTATTGGATTATTATAAACACAAAAGGGGTACATGAAGGTAAGTGAAGAGGCAATAAGGCTTGTTGGACCTGGAGCCCAATTCTATGGGTTTGTATCAAGTCATCAACCACCTTCCACTTTTTTCTTTTTTAATGAGACAGTTTCTTGCTCTGTCACTCAGGCTGGAGTGAAGTAATACAAACACAGCTCACTGTAGCCTTGAACTCTGGGGCTCAGGTGATGCTCCCACCTCAGCCTCCCGAGTAGCTGAGACTATAGGCATACATCACTATGCTTGGCTAATTTTTTGAAGAGATGGAGTTTTGCTATGTTGCCAAGGCTGGTCTCAAACTCCTAAAATCAAGTGATCCTCCCAACCTTGGCCTTGCAAAGTGCTGGGATTACAGATGTGAGCCACCGCACCCAGCCACCAACTGCTTTCTAGCTATGTGGCCTCACTTAGGTACATGGCCTCTCAAGCCACCACATTCCCCTCATTCCCCTCCCACAGTTGTTAAAATGAGACAGTCTCAGAAAAGCACTTAGCACAGAACCAGCCACCGTGACAAGCCCTCTATAAAGGGTGGCTAGCACTAACGTTGCTATAGCTGGTATGAAAGCGTCGCATTAACATTAAAAGGCACAGCGTGCAGGGACTGTCGCCATACAGGAGGTGAGGGTCACACTGAAGCCACCTGGCAGTTACCTCGGGGGCATGGTACGAGATGCACTGGAAGATCCAGTCCATGGCAGGCGGGTACAAGGGGAGGTACGATGGAAGCTCCACTCCTTGGACCACCAGCTGGTTCTGGACCGTATCCCCATGAATCTACAGGAGACCAAACAAACACTTAGAAAAGGAGAGGAAAAATCAAACAACAAACAAAGCATACACAACTCACAGACTGTGCATACTTGTAAGCATGTGGACAGCCCTGAGAGAAATAGCCTGGTTTCTCAGTTGCTTTTTTCTTTTAAACCAGAAAAAAAACACAGAAAGTTTCTCATGTCACCAAGCTGAGCTGTTTTGGGAATGAGCGCTGTGGAAAGCAGGAACCTGATAAAAATGGAGCCAGCAGATGCTAAGAAGCAAGGCTGATCGACTGGAGACGTTTCCTGTTAACACATGCATATTAACTTTCTCCGCTTACTCAGTACAATCAACACATTTTAATTGTCTACAACAGAAGCTAGTGTAATTTTCCAGGGCCTGCACATTTAAAGAGCTTTAAGGCATTCTCAACTTGGAAAACCAACTGGGTTTTGTGAATTTGCTTTCATAGAACGGCTATATCGATTAGCTATTCTGAAAGTGTTCTCTTACCTGTTTGAACGTAAGGAGGAAGTCAAAAAAGTTCTTATTTAGGGTTTCTTTGAGATGTGGGGCCACTTCCATTCCCACCTGAAGCCAGACAAACGGAAAAACTGGTTGCAAACAATAACTATAGTATGATTTTATTTTTGGAAATTAATATATATATGTGTGTGTGTACACACACACACCCCTATGTTTATAGATATAGAAAAAGTCCAGAAAATTCTTATTTTTTTGAGATGGAGTCTTGCTCTGTTGCCAGGCTGGAGTGTAGTGGCACAACTTCGGCTCACTGCAACCACCGACCCCCTGATTCAAGGGATTCTCCTGCCTCAGCCTCCTGAGTAGCTGGAATTACAGGCACGTGTCACCACGCCCGGCTGATTTTTGTATTTTTAGTAGAGACAGGGTTTCACCATATTTATAGCCCAGGATGGTTTTGATCTTCTGACCTCATGATCTGCCCGCCTTGGCCTCCCAAAGTGCTGGGGTTACAGGCGTGAGCCACAGCGCTCGGCCTAATTTTTTTTTTTTTCCTTATCTGTTTTTTGTTTTGTTTTGAGACGGAGTCTCGCTGTGTTGCCCAGGGTGGAGTGCAGTGGCACGACCTTGGCTCACTGCAACGTCCACCTCCCGGGTTCAAGCAATTCTCCTGCCTCAGCCTCCCAAGTAGCAGGGAGTACAGGCGTGTGTCACCACACTCGGCTAATGTTTGTATTTTTAGTAGAGATGGGGTTTCACCATGTTGGCCAGGCTGGTCTCGAACTCCTGACCTCAGATGATCCGCCCGCCTCAGCCTACCAAAGTGCTGGGATTACAGGCGTGAGCCACCACGCTCAGCCTATCTGTTTTCTTATTCAATAAACGTGTACTGCTTTTATAAGAAAGACCACAGAAGCTATTTTTAATAAAAAAGGGCAACATTTGCAGAAATCATCTTTGCTCTTCCCCAAAGGTATTGAACGTATTTCTAAACAGATGACCAAGAGAACAAATCAATACAGAACTAAAAAGGAGTATACTCTCAAGATTGTGTACACAATAAAAAAAATGATAAACACACAGGTAGTTGTACTTACTAGATAAAACACAAAGATTATGGTACATGAGAGAGTCAACTTGGATTTCAGATGTGGTGCTGCCCCCGTTACATGGTTAGTTAAAAGCTATACAAATCCATTCTTTGCAAGGCAGTGATAAGAGGAGACATGAATTTTAATACATTTTATGCAATTTTATGTAAGATGAGCATGAACTGTAACAATGCTATAATCCCTTAGGTTCTGACTTCATTGTTACAAAACAGACTGTAACATTCTAGCTGAAGACATTTACTAATCATAGATAAGGTACAGTAATGGGGTTAGATGGAATAGTAGAGGGATGAGCTATGGAGGGGAGTTCATAGGTTTAAAACAACATCACAGCATTTCTTAAACTGACTTCCTCAGAAATGCTTCATTTCCAAATTGCTGCTTAATCGCAAAAACAACTTTGTAGGCTGGGCTGCAGCAGTTCACACTTGTAATCCCAGCACTTTGGAAGGCACAGGTGGGCCAATCACGTGAGGTTAGGAGTTTGAGACCAGCCTGGCCAACATGGTGAAACCCTGTCTCTACTAAAAACCACAAAAATTAGCCGGGCGTGGCGGCACGCACCTGTAGACCCAGCTACTTGGGAGGTTGAGGTGGGAGGATCGCTTGAACCCGGGAGGTGGCAGTCGCAGTGAGCAATATTGCGCCACTGCACTCTAGCCTGGGCAATAGAGCAAGACTGGATCTCCATTTCTTCAAATGGGGATAGATCTCTCCCATTCACGTTCCATTACTCAGAGGTCATGATGGGTAACAATAATAATGTTTTTCAGATGGCATCTGAGAACCACCTGGGTGTTAAATTCCAAGAGCAGCTCTGTGATTGGGTACAGGAAGTGCTGTTTCCAAGGACAAGCACATAGATTAAAATATGTATATACATATATATATATATATATACACACTAACAAGAAACATCAGATCCAGTCCTACAGTGTTCTGATTCTCCTTCCACTTAATCATATTGTAGAAAAGACAATAATTATCTGTTAGATGACAGCAAAGGCTGGCCTGGTGGCTGAGCCATGGAGATGAGCTGAAGCGGCTGTGAGTTAGAAGTTAATCATACCTTCCTCTAATAAACAGCTTCCAGCTCCCCCCACGCTCTCCCCACGCAGAGCTTTTGTTTTCTATTTTTCTCTTCTCATCAGGCCAAATGAGCAGCTTGGATATCTGCTCGGGTCTAAAACGTGTCTCCTCAGAGTAGCAAGGGTATTGCTCATGATTCCCATCTGCCGTTTCGGCCTCCCCAGCATTCATCTCCCCTGTTGCTGGTATCAGCAAATTACATTTGTCTCTGGGGAATCAAACCTTCCTCTCAGACCATGAGGTCTGTGGTGGAGCTGGATCCACCTCACCCTGAGTTCCACGCAGGGGCATGTGACCCAGGCCCAGTCAGTAAGCACCCAGACCCCAACCCATGGCCACGTGACTGGGGTGGACAAGCAACCCTAGGTAATCCACCAATAATCAGCCCTGAGGCTCTGGCTAGATCTACTGGCGAGAAAACACACTTTCCAAAAGGTTCCTAAGGTGGTAGGATGCAAGCCAGAGGCCGCTATGGGCCATCATATAATAAAAGCAAGTCACAGAATGAAGCCAACTCAGAGGACAGCAGAGCTGAGTGATGCGGAGAGAGGCTGATTCTTGACGGCACCCTTTGAGGGCCTGCATCCAGCCGTGCCTGCACTACCCCTGGTCTCTCCAGACACTGGCCAGTAAGTTCCTACTTTTGCTTAAAGTAGTATGAACTGGGTTTTTGGCACTTGCAACTGAAAGAAATCTTACTAACACACAGGCTCTTTTGTTTGTTTGTTTGTTTGTTTGAGGCAGTCATGCTCTGTCAACCAGGCTGGAGTGCAGTGGTGCGATCTTGGCTCACTGCAACCTCTGCCTCCTGGGTTCAAGTGATTCTCGTGCCTCAGCCACCCAAGTAGCTGGAACTACAGGCATGTACCACCATGCCTGGCTAATTTTTGTATTTTTTAGTAGAGACGGGTTTTTGCCATGTTGGCCAAGCTGGTCTTGAACTCCTGACCTCAAGTGATCTGCCCGCCTCAGCCTCCCAAAGTGCTGGGATTACAGGCATGAGCCACTGTGCTTGGCGTCTCTTACTCTTTTAATGTTAAAGAGACTTTTAGAAACTACCCAACCAGGGGAATCAACGCATTGCCTGGACTGACAAAAATGATTTCAGCAGATGCCAGGCACTCCACTATCAATCTTCCTGGGATGGGTCTGCTTTGTCCTCTGCATCTTCTCCTCGTCGTCACTGTGTTTCAAGTTGCATCTGACATTCAAAGGCACTTTATATGTAACAAATATGATTGTGTACCCTAGCTCATGTACCTGACTTCAAACATTAAAAGGGAACAGGCTTGCAAAAAATACATACTTCCTCACTTTCTGATTTCTCTTTAATAACCAAATTATTTGCATAAAAGACAGCACGAGTCTAAGTCTTTATCACCGGGTCTCCGACATCAGGCCTTATTCAAGTGATGTCAATGTGTGTTAAAAGCATTTGCTATGTTCTACAAGGCAAAAGGCAACAGAGCAGAAATACACAAACAAGGCTGGGCGTGGTGGCTCACACCTATAATTCCAGCAGTTTGGGAGGTCGGGGAAGGTAGATCACCTGAAGTGGGGAGTTCAAGACCAGCCTGGCCAACATGGTGACACCCCATCTCTACTAAAACTACAAAAATTAGCTGGGCATGGTGGCAGGTGCCCGTGATCCCAGCTACTCAGGAGGCTGAGACATGAGAATCGCTTGAACCCAGGAGGCAGACGTTGCAGTGACCTGAGATTGCACCACTGCACTCCAGCCTGGGCAACAGAGTGAGACTCTGGCTCAAAACAACAACAACAACAACAACAACAAAAGGCCAGGTGTGGTGGCTCACGCCTGCAATCCCAGCACTTTGAGAGGTCGGGGCGGATGGATCATGAGGTCAAGAGATTGAGACCATCCTGGCCAACATGGTGAAACCCCGTCTCTACTAAAAATACAAAAATTAGCTGGGCATGGTAGTGCACACCTGGAGTCCCAGCTACTTGGGAGGCTGTGGCAAAAGAATTGCTTGAACCTAGGAGGCAGAGGTTGCAGTGAGCTGAGATCACACCACTGTACTCCAGTCTGGCAACAGAGCGAGACTCCATCTCAAAAAAAAAAGAAAAAAGAAATACGCAAACAGTATCTTTGCATCTCTCCCAGAGGATGCAGCATTGTGTTCTGTGCATAGTTGGGCCTCAGCAAACACTGACTTGGGAGGAGTACTCAAGCTTTAATATATTGGAAACATACCTGTATCTCTGGATGGAAAATCCCCCCTGCCCAGGTCTCAAGCAGTGGGCGATGCATACATACTTTGGCCTCTGCTACAAAGAGGGAAGAGGGTGCCCTTAAACGAAAGGCTTTTTCTTTCATTCTCAGTATCAAGAAACAGACCTATAAAAAGTGCCCTTCCTAATGGATATCTACTCCTCAACTGAAGGCACTGACTTAGTTTTTCGTGACACTTGAGACCACAGGGCTTCCGACATTTGCTGGCTGTCACGCAGAAGCAGCAAATCACAGGCTACATGTTCTCATCTTTTAGTTTAATAAGGTCAAACTCATGGGGGAGGCTCTAACTGCAACTTTGTCCTCAAGGAAGTCTGGGGCTCATCAGGGGCAATGATCTAAGGATGTGCAATATTGATGGGACGACAGGGAAGATTCTCATTGCTAGAGGAGTCCCGACAGAGGCAAAGACCCTGTGTGAGCTGAAGAAAACCATGGAGAGGCCATACACCGGCCAGGCGCAGTGACTCACACCTGTAATCCCAGCCCTTTGGGAGGCCAACGTGGGCAGATCACTTGAAGTCAGGAGTTCAAGGCCAGCCTGGCCAACATGGTGAAACCCTGTCTCTACTAAAAATACAAAAATTAGCCAGGCGTGGTGGCAGATGCCTGTAATCTCAGCTACCCAGGAGGCTGAGACAGGAGAATCACTTGAACCCAGGAGGTGGAGGCTGCAATGAGCTGAGATGGTGTCACTGCACTCCAGCCTGGGCGACACAGTGAGACTCCATCTCAAAAAAAGAAAGACCACATAACCTCATTGGTTACGTTTTTCCAGACACAAAAAACTTAATGGCTTAGCTGACGCCTCACGGTGCTTTAAAGCAGAGCACGGGCAAGTAATTTCTAATCAGTACCTCTACCTGCTTTCACAGCAGCCACCTAAGCCAGGCCACACAGATCCTGAGGCCTGCCGTCATGTGGGACACTGCTCCCTTGCCAAGCAGAAAACTAATAAAGCAATCAAAGTCAAGACAAAGGAAGAGCATGTTTCAAGTCAATGAAAAGCAACTTGTCAGCCAAAGAGCCCTGGGAGCCTCCTTCGCAGCAAGAATTGAGAAACAATTAATTCTGAAAACCAGTTCATTTGTAAGAAGATGACCTTAAACATTCCCTAATTAGAGCTATGGTAAGTTGGTCTACTTTAAAATTAATTTTTAAAAGAAACCCTACAGTTCTACTTTCTGTGGCAGAGATATGATCTAAAATTAGCCGCTAATAAAGTCCTTCTCTCAATGACTTGTGGGGTGGTGGGGAAGGAGGGCCCTGTGTGAACATTCAAGGAGACGGGCGGCAGCCGTGCCGTCAAGGGTAGTGACTCGCATGGCCTACCCGGCACAGGTAGGCACGGGCGTACACCGACACCAGCGGGTCGCCGATCCCTCTGATCATGCATGTTAACCGGGGCAGGCACTCTGAAATTCCCCTGTGAGAGACAAAAAGAGGCCAGCATTACACTCAACGTGAGAACTCGCTGTTCCTTTATTTTTAAAATAAAGATAAAATAAAAACTTCCTAAATTCGCGAGAGGGGTAGTGTGGGGAGGAAAAATCAAGTTTCAGTAACAAACCAAGGTCAAAGTTTCAGTTTTCTAAGGCAATGTAACAACAGTCTTTCTCTTCTGATACAATTTGTTCATTGAATGATTTATTTCATTGTTATCCTTTGCTCAGTGGTGGAGGCTAACCACATTTTTTCCCCAATCGAGGTCACATTTATTTTATTAATTTTAATAGTTTTTGTCTCCAATTATTTTCCATCGACTGGGCACCCCTTGATCTTCTCTCCACATCTATTTTTGTTTGCCACAGATTTACTGTCCCGTATCCTGTTCCTTCTGTGAATCTCAGGCTGGCATCTGACATCCTCCAACTACCAACAATGTGAATTACGATTTATTTCTCCTGCAATGTATGTCTTCCCTCTGCCTAAGGCATTATCCTCCTCCAACTGGTGAGGCAAAATAACTGTTTCTTCAGTACCCATGTTATTCCCCCAAACTACTCCAGGTATCCCTAGACGCAAATCCAACACATTTGAGATAAATTCTAAATCCAATCAGAAGAGCTATCTGTGGAGCAGCATGAATCAGTCACTCCCGGGCTTCAAGAAATTTATTATCTAGCTATCTAACATGACTCAGCATTTCACCTACTCTGCAGAAAGCAGATCTGGGTCCCCCATGTCCTGTAATTACTCTCAAAACATTGTGATAAATTGAGTAGCATGGACCTAAGCCACTAAGGGCAAAGGCTTCTGCTTCTGACGTCATCATTTTCTTTTTTTTTTATTTTTTTATTTTTTTTATTTTTTTTTGAGACGGAGTCTTGCTCTATTGCCCGGGCTGGAGTGCAGTGGCCGGATCTCAGCTCACTGCAAGCTCCGCCTCCCGGGTTCACGCCATTCTCCTGCCTCAGCCTCCCGAGTAGCGGGGACTACAGGCGCCCGCCACCTCGCCCGGCTAGTTTTTTTTGTGTTTTTAGTAGAGACGGGGTTTCACTGTGTTAGCCAGGATGGTCTCGATCTCCTGACCTCGTGATCCGCCCGTCTCGGCCTCCCAAAGTGCTGGGATTACAGGCTTGAGCCACCGCGCCCGGCCATTTTCATCATCATCAACAGCAGCAGCCAACACAGAGGATGGGCACACCGTGTACCAGGTGTGACTGTCACTGTTGCATGTATGACCTGAAGGACCCCCTCAGACCTCTTCTTAGGGTCATGTTCCCAGGAGAGGAAGCCTGAGGTTCTGGGGCTGTAAATAACCTGCTCAAGACCATACAGCTAGTACCAGTACAGCCAAGATTCAAATCCAGTTGAGCTGATCTTCCATGACCTCCTCAATCAACTTCTCCTGGCTTGAGTTTTCCTCTCCCTAATATGGGGATTAGAATGGTGTCTCTACTTCATTCAGTTTTCATTTGGATTCAACAAGAAAATGCACAGAAGGTACTTAACACACAACATTAAGTATTCAGTGAATAATGGCTACTATTACATTGCCATTATTATCTGTGTACACACAGGAGATTTTGAACAATTTTATGGTTCTAGATTTTACCGAAGAGCCTTACGTTTTGGAGAGGAATTTGTTACATTTCAGGATGGATGCCTCCACGTAACTACAAGAACATCCCGTTAAGGAAGATGTTTTCCAGAAGGTCTACTCCCTATGGAGAAAAGACTAAACAATCCATGAATAAATAGAAGTAGGCAGGTCTTAGGAGACAGGGACCACGATGGCCCTCAACAATCCAGCGAACTAAGGTAGCTTATGGTTTCTACATATGGTTTTCAAAGTTTCATACTTATCTAAAATAAATTGTGGAAAATGTTACACATTGACTCATAGTTGCATGCTGAAATATAAACGGGGTTTTGAGCACTTCTAATCAATGCTTTATGGGGAAAGAAAGAACTTTAGAGGCTGGGCGCGGTGGCTCACGCCCCAGTACTTTGGGAGGCAGGGGCAGGCGGATCATGAGGTCAGGAGATTGAGACCACCCTTGCTAACACGGTGAAACCCGTCTCTACTAAAAATACAAAAAAATTAGCTGGGCGTGGTGGTGGGCACCTGTAGTCCCAGCATCTCGGGAGGCTGAGGCAGGAGAATGGCGTGAACTCAGGGGGCAGAGCTTGCAGTGAGCAGAGATTGTGCCACTGCACTCCAGCCTGGGCAACACAGCAAGACCCCATCTCAAAAAAAAAGAAAAAAAGAAACAACTTTAGATAACTAAGATGCAATTTAGTATAAGCCGAATTCTGTTCTTCAATATTGGCATTTGCCCTGCCAAGCTTGACCCTGTTCTTTCAAGTTCTTGGAATCAGAGAAAATACAAATGTAAAGCATTTTAATTGAGAATTAAGGTGGGAATGTTCCACAAGGAAACAAATGCCTGACACATGGCATCGTGTTCAAAGTAAAAGACAAAAAAACTGGAAAGAGCAAGAGTCCAAGGGTTTCTACAATGTGGCTTGCCCCGTATGTATTTTCAGGCTAGCAACGGTAACGGGACCAAATTTGCAGTAAGAATGTCAGGGCATCCCATCACATGGCTTCTATGAATAGTACAACTCTTTTAGCCTATCTTGAAAATCACCAGACAAAAAAAAGAAAAAAGAAAAAGGATACAATCTTGGAATGAGTTCCCTGATGGAGGCAATCTTGAAAAACCAATTTAGGCATGTTTCCTTGGCCGTGTCATTGGCATTCTCTGGAGAAAAGTGATCTGTAATATAAAAACAAGACCCATCAGCCCTCCTAAATCTCAGGATCTGTGTGAGTCCCCGGATGGGAACACATTACCCTGGAGCAGACAAGGGGGTGACTCCGCCTGTGTCTTTCTTTCCAAATATCACTATTAGGAAGCAACTGATGATAACAATAGTTTCCACAAACACAGGCTTTCTAAGTGCCAAGTGTTGTTCACAGTGCTTTACAGACAGCTCACCTGATCCCACAGAGCAACCCCCTGAGGAATGTACTTTTATTATCTTATTTTACAGATGCAGAGTCCAAGGCACAGAGGAATGCAGTGACTCACCCACGGCACACAGCAAGCAAATGTAAGAGCTGGAATGCAACCCAGGCAGTCGCGGCCGACATTCTTAGCCACTGCCTCTAATATAATCCAGAGGTTCTTGGTTACCTCCCGGTAACTATGACAACATTGCTGAGAATTCCAGATGCTTTAGGGAACTGCGACTGCAACATGAAATGTGATCTGAGCTTTTGCTCTACACATCACAATGGGCCAGAGGAAGGTAAAGCAAGGCCCCTGAGGTGAGAAACCAGCCAGAATTATGTCGCTGGCTCATGACTGGCTCCAAGACGAGTCACCTTGTGAAACTGCCAGTTTACTCCATTAGCTATTGTCCTCCTCTTTAATAAAAGAACTCGCATTGTCCTGCAGGACACAGGGCCATCCTTGCAGTTAGGTGTGGTCACGTGGGTCAGTTCTGGTCCCAGGATATAGAAATAGAAGGGCAACTTCTGAGAAGTGTCTTTAAGAGAAGGGGCTTGCCTTCCCTCACTCCTTCTTCCTGCTCACTGACTGGAATGCAGACATGACAGCTGGAACCTCTGCAGCCATACTGACTATGAGAGCAGCAAGATAGAAGTGAGGGTCGTTGGCACCAAGGGCTAGCTGGCCCATCAGCCCTGACCTTCATTACTGTTACTTTGAGTTTTCTGGAACTGGAACCCAAGCTTGATTTTGACATACATATTTTTAAACAGCAGAAATTTATTTCTCACAGTGCTGGACTTGACATACATCGTAAGCAATGGAAGAGAATATGGAGAAATGAAAGAAAAAACACAAAACGTATCAACACCATGAAGGCCACTGTTAAACTCTCACATGGAAATGATTTCTTCTAAATGATTTTGGCAAAGATTAGAGCTCCATCTCACCACTGGATGTTTTATACTTTTAGGATTAATTCAAAAAGGGAGAAGCTGGCCAGGCACTGTGGCTCACACCTGTAGTCCCAGCTACTTGGAAGGTTGAGGTGGGAGGATCAATAGAGCCCAGCAGTTTGAGGCTGCAGTGAGCTACGTTCGAGCCACTGCACTCCAGCCTGGGCAGAGCAAGACAGAGTAAGATAGAGCAAGACCTTGTCTCTAAAAAATGAATAAATAAATTAAAAGGGAGAAGTTAATTACTTTAATATAGCAAATGATTCTTAACTCGTTGGCTCTCATCCTGTTTTGCAATGAGTCATTTTCATCCCTGGTTCTGTCACTTGGTGGTACATGAAGGTGATCAAAATTCCTATAGAATCAGCAAAAAAAGATAAATCTCTAGGTACTTCTCTAGCAGAGAACAGTCACTAATCACAACTGCAGATATTTTGAAATTGCAATCTCCTCAGTCTATTTTTGGCTGGCTGGCATGCTTCATTCACTTGAGAACTATTTGCTTACCATTTTCAAAAGGATGGGAAATGACCATTTTCCCCTTTTTGGCCTAGATCTCTACACATGAAGTAACTTTTTTTTTCTACTTTCAAGAGATCCAGACAGGAAAAGATAGCAGTTATTCTTACATTCATTTGTCAATCTTCTCTTTGGGGACTGGGAGGAGCAGTGTTAATTTCCCTTCATATGACTGAATCTTGTGGCTTAAAATCCAAAAGCAAAAATAGGTCTCTGAGGTCATCTATAAAATCTCTCACTCTCTAGTTGAAGGAACTGAGATTCAGCGAAGGCTAAAACAAACTGGTTCAGGTTGCCTGAAAGAGTTGGAAATCAGGCTAAAGGCAGGCTGCCCTGCATACACACATTGACTGCAAGCTAGACGACAATCTGTATACACCAGTACAGAATTCTTTAGGCTTTCCTTCCAGCTCAAGGAATAATTTAGGAAAAGGATTCTGTTATGCAGGACTTTAAGATCTTACAGTAAACTAAGTACTATATTCCTTTACTTCATGTGTTCGACACAAATGCCTTAAGGGCCAACTAAAGGTGGTGTTCTAGGATTTGGGGAGATAACAGTGCACAAGGTAGATCCTATCTTCCTAAAACTTACGTTCCAGTCGGGGGAGACAAATGACAAACAGGAAAGAGAATAAGCAGGCAAACAAATAAGATAATATCTAACAGCACTATTAAAGATACTAAACTAGGTATTGGAATAAAGAGTGACTTGAGTGAGATTTAGGGGAAGGGGCTCATTAGATGCAGTGGTCAGAGAAGGCTCCCACAGAGGCGGTATTTGAGCTGAGCCCTGAATTATGAAAGGGAGCCAGCCATGCCTAGATGTGGAAGAAATACATTCCAGGGAGAGAAAACAGCAAATGCAAGGCCCTGAGGTAGGTATAACCTCACTATGGTCAAAGAACAAAAAGCAAGCCAATTTGCTGAGCAGAAAGGGGTGCAGCCAGCATCACAAGCCAGTTCACACAGGGCGAAAGCCTTGGTGAGGAGTTTGAGAGTTTTTCTAAACATAATGGAAACCCCCTGAAGGGTTCTGAGCACAGGAATGGCATGACACGACACGGTTTATACTTTAGCACATGGGCTGCTACATGGGGACTCCTTCAAAATCCGGAAATCAATTCAGAAGACACTTCAATATAACAAAGAACAGAGATTCTCTTTCTAGCTCCCACTTATTTTTCTTTTATGGTGCTGCTTTTTTTCAAACCTGAACTTCTGTGGATATTTTAAGAGGCGGCAGGAGACCAATGAGTCTAGTTCTTTCATTTATTTGCCAAGTCTCTGCCCAGAGGTCTCTTTACGTAACAGTGTTATAGGGATTGGCACCATCTTAGCTGGCATGTGCTGGAAAGGCCAGGTCGGTCAAGGCCACTGCTTATCCCAATGTGGCCCACATCAGCCACAGGGGAAAACTGAAGATGGGAGTGCTGAGAAGATGATGATGGGAACCATAATACAATAAACCCAAATTATTTATCCCAAGCTGGAAAGAAAATGATTTGACTTCTCAGAGTCAATGGCCTCTCTATGTATATGCTGGATTAAGGACTGTTGGGAAAAAAATGACCACATCTAGTAGTGTGTACTTTTCCTGAACCCAAAAGACACTGTATCTTTCTCAACTCCAAAGAGCTATACCTTAGTTAAAACTCCCGAAGGCAAAGGGCTCAAGTAGGAAATTCACCCAACAGAACTTGATTTAAATGGAAAGAATGAGTACAAATGCCACCAAATTTCTCTTTGCACATAATCTCTTTGGGCAGAATTCTGCACAGGAGATTTCTAAAGCTTTCATGATAATTATACTTAAGAGTCATTCCTCAGATCACCAACAACTTTGAAAAACAGAATCTACTGTTCTTTTCAGGTTCTTGGAACTGGAGCGAACACAAGCAGATGAAGATTTTAGCTAAAAGGAAAACAAACAATGATATCATTTAAAGAAAAAAAAACAAATGATTTGCTTTGCTCAAGGTCAAAAATAGTTAGTTGGAGAGGGAAGAATTTTAGTGATGAAAGTGCTATAATTAACATATCTAAACAAGGACTCATCTGTTGTTTTGAACTTTTAAGTTTAGGCAGGGAGTTAGTTATTAGTAATTTTTCCTTAATTGGCCCTAAAATGTTGTCTGTATAGTCACTGAAGACTGGAAGAAAGGAAGATTACTGCAGTAGAGGCAAACTCAAATGCCCCTGGGGGCCAGGAAGGTAAATATGAAAATTTTTAAGAGGTTGGGTACACAACAATAGGAAGAACTAGAGCCTGTATCAAAAATCATTTTTTTTAAGTGCTGTTGTTGCCAAAAAAAATCTATTTTGATTCATTCCCACCTGTTGGCTCAAGTTTGCTGCCAATGGTATATAGCATGCTATGTGCTGGCAAGTGTGAATTGAATAAATGGATTCGGCCGGGTGTGGTGGCTCATGCCTGTAATCCCAGCACTTGGGGAGGCTGAGGCGGGCAGATCACCTGAGGTCAGGAGTTCAAGACCAGCCTGGCCAACAAGATAAAACCCCATCTCTACTAAAAATACAAAAATTAGCTGGGTGTGGTGGTGCACACCTGTAATACCAGCTACTTGGGAGGCTGAGGCAGGAGAATCGCTTGAACCCAGGAGGTGGAGGTTGCAGTGAGCCAAGATTGTCATTGCCCTCCAGCCTGGGCAACAAGAGCGAAACTCTGTCTCAAAAATAAATAAATAAATAAGCAAACAATTCAGATTTCCCAAATCCTCAAGCCAGCGGAGAAGGCCTTTCCTTTCCACTTGGGCTGGCCTCTGCCTGCCTGTCCCGGATCACTGACTCCAACCCTGAGATGGCCAGAACATGGGAGGAGCTGCTGAAAAACATCATCACAGGTATGATGCAGTGGCATGGAGGATCCCAAAGAAAAACCACGTGAGCCACATTAAAAAGGTGAAAAATTGAGGAAATTAATTTTAATCATGTACTTGAACCCAATTCATCCAGAATACCATTTCAACATGTAGTCAACATAAACACTATTAGTGAGCTACTTTACTGTCTTTTACTTGTACTGAGTCTCTGAAATCCAGCGTCTTTTTAAATAGTTACGTCGCATCTCAATTTGGACTGGCCACACCTCAAGCGCTCAAGAGCAACACGTGGCCAGTGGCTGCTGTACTGGACAATGTAGGTGCAGCGCGAAGAGCAAGGCTCTCAGTAGCTGGTGGCAGAGCTCTGGGCAAGACCCTTCCATACTGGGTCTGCCCATCTCTGATGAAACAAGACGGGTCCTAAAAGAACTTTGAGGCCTAAAAGCCTGGAGAGTTCTGTCTCTTTCCGACAAATGTGCACATTAAATAGTATTAAAAAGACAGACCAAGCACAGTGGCGCATGCCTACAATCCCAGCACTTTGGGAGGCTGAGGTGGGAGGATCACTTGGGCCCAGAAGTTTGAGAGCTGCTTGGGTAACATAGGGAGACCCTGTGTCTACAAAGATGAAAAGTAAAAATATTAAATAGAAAAAATAAAAATAAAAAAGGGCCAAGCACAGTTGCTCATGCCTATAATCCCAGCACTTTGGGAGGCCAAGGCAGATGAATCACTTGAGGTCAGGAGTTTGAGACTAGCCTGGCCAACATGGTAAAAACCCCATCTCTACTAAAAATGCAAAAATTAGCCAAGTATGGTGGCAGGCACCAGTAGTCCCAGCTACTCAGGAGGGTGAAGCAGGAGAATCACTTGAATCTGGGAGGTGAAGGCTGCAGCGAGCTGAGATCGCGCCACTGCACTCCAGCCTGGGTGACAGAGCAAGAGTCCATCTCAAAAAAAATAAATAAAGATAGATTGATTGACTAATGGACAGACAGGAAGCAGAAGAGAGAAAAGGAGAGGGTGGGAGAGGAGGAGGGAGAGGAAGAGAGAAGAAGGAGAAGGGGAAGCAGGAATAAAGGAAAGAGGAAAGAAGGAAGAATATAGGTCAGGTTACAGGTTACTGTCACAAACACCTTCTATTCACCTCCTGGGAAGCCCCACTGCAGGAGCAGAGGGAAGTGGAGTGGCAGTGGAGCAAGCTGGTTACTCTAGCTTGGACAGATGAGAACGTTTTCTTATAGGCGTGCTCGGAAGTTAAAAAGAGGAATAAAGGCAAAGGATGCTGCGGCTGAGAGTCCTGCATTGCCAGACACATCATTCTTATCATTCATATGACAAAAGAAATTCATCATCCACTTGTCCCATTATAACCTCCAGGGAATTTAAACTTGATTGACAGTCAATTTAATGCAAAACTATTTAGGTATAGATTGTGAATTCAAAGCATCAATTACTATCGATCTATTTGACATCGTTCTTTAATATAAAGTCGTTTTTGCTTTTTTTTTTTTCCCCAAGCAATTTGCTTCTTAGGAGGGAACGATACACAGGAAAAATATTAAAGTCAAGCAGCAGAGGAAAATGTGTTGATGTGAAAGTTCAGCTGAATCTAACTGTGATGCCTTTCCGTTCTTGCAGATTCAAATTACTTGCCTTAGTTCCTACACAGGCCATTTAGAAACCTTCTAATGTTTTTAGAAGACTGAGATGATCAGAAATCTTCAAAGGTGTTTCTTTTACTTGAACACACCCCAAATTAAAAACTTTATCAAGCTTCAACGAATCCTGACTCAATAAAAGCCTTCTAGTCCTGACTCCAGGCGGGATGACACCCCAGGAACAGCTGAGACATTACCTGGTAAGACACTGCGGTTATCCACACACATGGAAAAGATGCGCTCGTACACGAGCTTTCCTGGGAGGAAAAGGACAGATGGTGTTAGTATCACACTCTTCAGGAGCAAACAGTAAATAAATGTTTGTTAATTAGAGACCCAGAGCGATCATCTCCCAGACAGGCTTCAACTTGTGATGGTATGCTGCCACCTGGTGGGACAGATTTTAAGACACATTTCTTTTGTTTTGTTTTTAGTTTTTCCAGTAGACTTTTACTTTCTTTGAAAGGCAGGAAAGTGAAAGTTTTACTCTTTGGAGTCTAAAGGAGTCTCAAGTATCTCCATCCACTCAGACGATGGTCCACATTCCATGCTAGGCCAGAGGTGAAAACGGGCAGCCCGTGGGCTGAATCCAGCCTGTGACCAGTTATGCGTGGCCACACCACAACAGCCCACAAAGTGTTTTAACATTTTTTGGATTGGTTACCAACAGGTAAAAACTGGGAGAGGCTGGGCATAGTGGCTCACACCTGTAATCCTAGCACTTTGGGAAGCCGACACAGGAGGACTGCTTGAGCCCAGGAGTTCAAGAGCAGCCTGGGCAACACTGTGAGACCGGGAATGTACAAAAAATTTAAAAATTAGCCAGGCATGGCAGCACATGCCTGTAGTTTCAGCTACTCAGGAGGCTGAGGTGGGAGGATTGCTTGAGCCCAGGAGTTCAAGGCTGCAGTGAGCCATGATCACCCACTGCCCTCCTGCCTGGGTGAGAGAGCAAGACCGGTCTTAAAAACTAAAACTAAAACTAAAACAAACTCTACAACTTGGGAGAACTCACATGCCATATTTTCTCCTTCTTCACATAAAATATGCTAAAAATGTGGCCATATCTCTACAGAATAACACAGCTAGAGCAAATTAGTAGCTGCCCCTTGAAATGGCATATATACTAACCAGTTTGCCACAGTCTCCACCACCCCCTACCATCTCTCATCATCAGTGTGCTTTTCACTCTTTTATGTGACCTGCCTGGTCCCTAGAAGCATCAGATTTTGAGATTCAACTAGAATTCAAGTTTCACAAAGGCAGAGATCTGTGCTTGCTTTGTTCACTGACTGGCACACAGAGGGTACTCAATACTTGTTAGATGGATGAACATATTAGAGGTTTTGCAGGTCATAGGTCACTTTCTTGATGACTCATCTTTGCCATTGTAGCACAAAAGTGGCCACAATGTGCAAACAAATGGATGTGGCTGTGTTCTGATAAAACTCTACACAACAGGTGGGCAGCCTGGACCCCTAAACTGGTACCAAAAGTGTTAGTTTGGAAAATGTTATCAATATGTGGAGGTAAAAAATTACAGTTCTTTGGGAGGCCGAGACAGGCGGATCACGAGGTCAGGAGATCGAAACCATCCTGGCTAACACAGTGAAACCCCGTCTCTACTAAAAAAATACAAAAAACTAGCCGGGCGAGGTGGCGGGCGCCTGTAGTCCCAGCTACTCGGGAGGCTGAGGCAGGAGAATGGCGTAAACCCAGGAGGCGGAGCTTGCAGTGAGCTGAGATCCGGCCACTACACTCCAGCCTGGGCGACAGAGCGAGACTCCGTCTCAAAAAAAAAAAAAAAAAATTACAGTTCTTATTCATTTTCTAAGCTCTCCTAAGTCACCTTCAATGTGAAAGTATTTCCCTCTACGTTTTGTTTTTTTTTTTTCATAGCCGCTTTATTCAGGGCAGTAAAGGATAACACAGCTTGTCCATACACGGAAAAAGAGACAGGAAAATACAAAGATCATTTCAGGTCAAAGAACGTGAGATCAAATGATATCAAGAGATGACACAGTGTTAGGGTTAAGTGAAGGAAGCCAGCCAAGCTAAAAGGTACCACTCAGGTGCTTCTCCCAGTATGGACCACCTGCCTAAATATCTACCTACATTCATTCATTCAGACAGGGCCTCATTCTGTCACTAGGCTGCAGTGCAGTGGTGTGATCACAGCACACTACATACAGCCTCCACCTCCTGGGCTCAAGCAATCCTCCCACCTCAGCCTCCTATGTAGCTGGGACCATAGGCATGCACTGCCATGCTTGACTAATTATTTTTCTGTAGACATGGGATTTCCCTATGTTCCCAGCCCAAGCTGGTCTCGAACTCCTGGGCTCAAGTGATCTGTGTGCCTTGGCCTCCCAAAGTGTTGGGATTATAGGTGTGAGTCACCACGCCTGGCCTTGGACCACCTACATTAAAATTTCCTAATGACACTTGTTGAAAATGCAGATTCCTGGGACCACCTTATAGCTACCGGAAAAGAGTATTTTTATAGCCAGGCACAGTGGTGCACACATGTAGTCCCAGCTACTTGAGAGGCAGAGATAGAAGCTATGATTGTGCCGCTGTACACAACAGAGTGAGACACTGTCTCAAAAAAAAAAGTATTTTGGAGGATGAGGACTAGGAATATGGATTTTTGAATAACCTTGCTGGGAAATCCTTATACACGCTGAAGTGTGAGAACCACCGATTTAGGCAGACACCAGTGGGGTCTCTGAGCTAAAACTTGCCTTGCCTCTGGAATCTACAGAAACAGCAACAAACCTCCCTCTTCCCTCTGAGCCAGTGCTTCTCCAACTGGGCTGCAGACTCCAAGCACCTGGGACTCTTGAAAATCTGTGGATGTCTGTGTCCATCCTCACAAGTCCTCATATAAATGGTTTGGATGCAGCTGGGACTTTGTGGGTGTTTTTAAAGCTCCCCAGGTGATTTCAATGTGCAGCGAAGTATGAGAAGCACTGCTCCAAACCACTGGCTCCATTCAGAAGACCCTGGAAGGCCTTAGAGAACAAACCCCAGTTCTCAAAGCCACCTGCTTTTTTCCTCCTGGCAGAACGTGCTTTCCTTATCAGGGGCTATGGGTTCCCTACAGCCACACCTCGTGTAGAGAGATGCCTCCCCTGGGATGACCCCAGAACCCTGGCATTAGGGATGCATGCAATGTCACCTTGGACCATCACACAGCAAACCACGCTAGGCGGCTGCATAACTTCTCACCTCCCATGGTGCACAGAATGAACCCAGCACAAAACACCTTTATTTCCTACACAAAAGTTGCCATCCCTCTAAAACTAGCTTTCTTAAAAAAAACCAAAAAACAAAAAACAAAAAAACAAAAAAACAAATTCATCTCCACATTCTTTTTTACTTTATTTACTTTATTTTTTTTTTAGAGACAGAGTCTTGCTCTGTCACCCAGGCTGGAGTGCAGTGGGGCAATCAGAGCTCACTGCAGCCTCAACTACCTGGGCTCTGGGGATCCTCCCACCTCTGCGTCCTGAGTAGCTGGGACCATAGGCACACACCACCATGCTTGGCTATCTTTTAAATTTTTCGTAGAGACTAGGTCTCACCATGTTGCTCAGGCTGGTCTCGAACTCCTGGGCTCAAGCAATCCTTCTGCCCTGGCTTCCCAAAGTGCTGGGATTACAGATACGAGCCACTGTACTGGGCCTCACTTTCATATTTTAAGAACCCTTTAACTACAAAATTATTTTTACTGAAAAAAGCTATTTGTCTATTGTTGAGCTAGAAGACAACTATTCTGAGAAACAACGCTTGATCCTAGATTTATTTCCTGTCTTGATTTGCTTTCTTATAAATCAAAGACACTAAAATAGATAAATAATAACAGTGGTAACAGCTAGCATTTTCTGAGCACTTACTTTGTGCCAAGCACTATTCAAAGTCATTGACTCTAATCCTGCCAGCAAACTCTTAGAAGAGGAAAGACATTATACTTCCTATGAATCCTCTTATTTAATCTTCTCCAGAAACCCTTGGAGGCAGGGTCTACGATAGCCCCATTCTACAGGCGGAGAAACTGAGGCTCAAGTTCATACAACCCTGAAAGAGGAGACACAGGCATTGAAGCCAGAAGCCGACCTCTATATCCAATGCCTCTAGTGAAATCCCAACAGAAACCAGGCACACGTCTTCCCACTGTGCATGCCAGTCTCTGTGGATGCTGGGGCCCTAGTCTGCATCCCTGGCACAGCAAGATGCTCTGACCCTCTTGTCAACAATGTCAACAACCATGAAACACCTGTCCCTGTACTGTCAAGCATCTTCTTTTAGAGCAGAGTAATGACCATGTGCAGAAAAATGGAGCTCAGGACTCCACATTTCCACCAAGCAAGTCAGGGTTTCACTCTTTTTTTTTTTTTACAAAGCATACACTCATTAGCCCCAAACCTTAACAAAGACTCTTTGAGGACCTGTCCATGCAGACTGCCTCAACAGTCCTGAGGAATATTATTCACAATAGACTTAAACAACAGCACCCTGGGAACACCATTCTGAAGTGGAGAGGAAGGACGGGGACCTGGGGCAGTGCTGAAAGCAGCTACTTTGTGTGAATGTTTGGTTTTGAATAGGTGAAACATTCCCATGGTTCAAAATTCAAAAAGGCTGCAGAAGGTACCAAGTGCAGTTTCTCTCCTGGCCCATCCCATCCACCTCACTGCCCTGCGCACCCTCTGAGAGAAACTACTTCTATCGGTTTCTTGGGTATCCTTTTAATGTCTCCTTAGGGAGACACAAGTGAATACCACCACGTATTCTACATTTTCCTCCTTTCTTTTTCTTTTTTTTTTCCTTCTTTTCGAGACAGGGTCTTACTTCTGCTAGGGTGCATCATAGCTCACTGCAGTCTCAAACTTCTTAGGCTCAAGGAATCTGCCTGCCTCAGCCTCCTGAGTAGCTGGGACTATAGGTTTGTACCACCACACTTAACTATTTTTTTAAAATGTTTTGTAGAGATGGGGTTTTGCTATGTTGCCCAGGATGATCTTGAACTCCTGGACTCAAGTTATCCTCCTGCCTCAGCCTCCCAAAGTGCTGGGATTATGGGATTACAGGTGTGAGCCACCATGCCCGGCCCTTTCCTTCCCTTCTTTTGTTTTTGTTGTTGTTGTTTGTTTGTTTTTCTGAGACAGAGTCTCACTTTATCACCCAGAATGGAGTGCAGTGGCTTGATCTCAGTTCACTGCAACCTCTGCCTCCTGGGTTCAAGCAATTCCCCCACCTAAGCCTTCCGAGTAGCTGGGATTACAGGCGTGTACCACCTCACACAGCTAATTTTTGTATTTTCAGTAAGGACGGGTTTCACCATGTTGCCCAGACTGGTCTCGAATTCCTAAGCTCAAAGTGATCTGCCAGCCTTGGCCTCCCAAAGTGCTGGGATTACAGGTGTAAGCTACCATGCCCAGCCTTTTCATTTCATAGAGCCACTAATACTCCACTATACAGACACACCATAATTTATTTAGCCAGCTCCTATTGATGGCCACTTGAGTTGCTTCTTATAATTTGCTATTACAGGTGGGATAGAATCCCAGAGGTGAAACTGTTGGGTTAAATGTATATGCATTTAGGCCAGGCGCAGTGACTCATGCCTATAATGCCAGTACTTTGGGAGGCCAAGGTGGGAGGATGGCTTGACTCCAGGAGTTTGAGACCAGCCTGGGCCACACAGTGAGATCCCATTGCTAAAAAAAAAAAAAAAAAAAAAATAGCTGGGCATGGTGGAACACACCTGTGGTCCAAGTTACTTGGGAGACTGAGACAAGAGGATCCTTTGAGTCAAGGAGATTAAGGCTGCAGTGTGCCATGATCACACCACTGCACTGTGGCCTGGGCAATGAACTGAGACCCTGTCTCAAAAAAAAAAAAAAAGGTATATGCATTCCCCCATGAGCAATGTATACAGAGAAATAAAGTAAGTGCTTTGACTGCAGATAGTGAGTTGAGACTCAGCTCTGCAATTCACTATGACGGTGACCCTGGGGAAGCTACTTTCCTTCTCCACCACCACGCCTGGCTAATTTTTGTATTTTTAGTAGAGACGGGGTTTCACCATATTGCCCAGACTGGTCTTGAACTCCTGACCTTGTGATCCACCCACCTCGGCCTCTCAAAGTGCTGGGATTGCAGGCGTGAGCCACTGTGCCCAGCCAGGACTTAATATCCATAAAGCACCTAACAGTCTGCCCAAGGTCATCATCTGTTGAAGATTTACCACTGCTGTTCCCAACTCCCAGCCCAGCTATTTTCTGGGACACAAAAAGGACGGCAGCATCTGCACTACAGCCTGGCGAGTCCAGGACGGCGCTGGGGCGCTGCTGGCAGGAGCTGGCAGAGTGGCTGCCCAGAGTTCTTGCAAGGTGAGTGAGCTGTCTGGGTCTGGCCAGGCTTGCAGGATAGAGCTAATCAGTGTCTCGGAGCTAATCTTGCTCAGGAAAGCTGACTCATACAAAAGAAATTTAGGAGAGGCTGGCGAAGGAACCAGAAGGCCAAGAGGTTGATTCACAGGAGAAATGAGACTGCCAGGGGAGCCAGACACAGCCACCAGCCTCTCCCCACCAATGACAACCTCACTCCCTGAAGGTAAGCCGTTTGCAGGGACACGTCAAGGACCAGCAGTGTATGATTTGACATCTATTCTAAGAACCTAAAGCCCTTAACCATCCTGGGTCTCTCTTTGCCATTCCTACCGCCTTCCTGGGGCCATGCCAATCCCTGCCTCTCACTGGAAGTGCTGCCACAGGTTCCGGGCTCCACCTCCGCCCTACAGTCTAGTCTCAACACAGAGCCTGTTAAATCCCACATGGGATCACCTCCCTCCTCTGCTCAACACCTTCTGGTGGCCCCTCCTGCCCTCGGAGTCACAGTCAAGGCCCAAGTCCTTCCAGCGGCCCCCAAAGCCACCATGGTCTCTGACCATGTCAGCTTCTGCCCCTCTCCCGGGCTCATCCCATCGCCTCCCTCTTGGCCTCCTTGGTTCTCAGGCCAACCTGGTGCTCCCAATGCTCCCACCCCAGGATCTTTGCACAAGCTGTTCCTTGGCCTCTTCTGCCCCTGGCCTCTGCCCCATAGACCCATAGGGCTCACCTCTCACCGCCTTCAAGTACCTGCTCGGGTAACCTCTCAACGAGGTCTCCACTGAGCACCTTACTTAAAATTGCACCCCTACCCCCTCACCTAATTCCCTCCATTCCTCTTCACCTCCTCACCCCACTCTGTTTTGTTTTCTCCATAGCGTGGATCATTGTCTAACATACAATTGGGTTGACTTAATTGTTTTGTAAATTCTCTTTTTTGGAAACATAAGCACCACAAAGGCGAGGATTTTTTTTCTTTTCTTTCTTTTTTTTTTTTTGAGACGAAACCTTAGCTCTGTGGCACAGACTGGAGTGCAGTGGCGCGATCGCAGCTCACTGCAACTTCCGCCTCCCGGGTTCAAGCAATTCTCCTGCCTCAGCCTCCCGAGTAGCTGGGATTACAGGTGGCCGCCACCACACCTGGCTAATTTTTATATTTTTAGTAGAGATGGGGTTTCACCATGTTAGCCAGTCTGGTCTCAAACTCCTGACCTGACGTGATCCAACTGCCTCAGCCTCCCAAAGTGGTAGGATTACAGGCGTGAGCCACCGTGCCTAGCCAAGGCAAGGATTTTTGTCCCTTCCATTTGCTGACACCTCCCTAGTGGCCTGCAGAAAGCCTGATACCACCTCTCCGGGCCATCTGAACCCATCAGGCCTCATCTGTCAGCTGGGACATCTCCTCTTTTTGCCCAGGTAGCATCCACTCCCCTTTCTTCCGCTAACTGTATCACTCTTTTAGTTCTGGGGTGACCAGGCCTGGATAATCAGTGCATTTCATCCCCCAGATACCACAACTGGCTCAGGGATGGACAAGTGAACCAACCCAGGCCAATGAGATGGGATTCTGAAACTTCTGTGGGAATGCTTGGAGAAAGCAGCTCTTTCCATGCCCTGGGACCACCAGCAGTAAAGCTATCAGAAGCTGAGGACACCTTGTGAAACTCGAGAATGCACCCAACCCAAGAGCAAGGTCTTTTTTTTTTCTTTTCTTTTTTTTTTTGGAGACAGTCTCGTCCTGTCGCCCAGGCTGCAGTGCAGTGGTATGATCTTGGCCCACTGCAATCTCCACCTCCTGGGTTCAAACGATCCTCCTGCCTCAGCCTTCCGAGCAGCTGGGACTACAGGTGCGCACCACAACACCCAGGTAATTTTTGTGTTTTTAGTAGGGACGGTGTTTCACCACGTTGGCCAGGCTGGTCTTGAACTCCTGACGACAGATGATCCACCCACCTCTACCTCCCAAAGTGTTGGGATTACAAGTGTGAACCACCATGCCCGGCCCAAGGGCAAGGTCTTAATGACACTGTTTGGGTTCCTGGATCCAGCTGCACCTGAAGCCAGAACTACCCCTGGACTTTTCAGAGTAAGCCAATAAATACCCCCTTTTCCAAGGTTCGTTAGCTTTCTTGTCACTTGTTTTAGCTAGTGCACTCCGGTCTCCGGTCTCTTGGACAGGACTGGGATGCACAGAAATGAATGAGTCTCTCAAATTGACAGTTTGCTTTCTGACACATTATACCTTTCAATGGGTTACGGATAAGATTTGCTGGGTTGGGAGCCCATTGGTCCCTGTAAGACAGTGAATGTCTGTTCTGATCTTCTACATGTTCAGCTCTCAGAAAGCGCCCCCATTTCCTAGTTCTGGTGGGATGCCTCGCTGTGGGGCACATCATATAAAGCTTAGAGAGCTACATGGTTTGAGCAAACTGCTAATGGCACGATGCTCTGGCCTAACCAACCACTGCCAAGCAGCACAGGGGCCTCCTGCTCCTCCAGGTTATTCTCTTCAGTCTAAACCTTTCTGCCTGGCTCCAAAAGGTCACTCTACCTGTGAGGTGGTGTGTGGGACTAGGGGCAGCCACAGTGATGCAGGAAGTTATCCAGGTGGGAGAGGGCTGTGGCTAGGATTAAAATTTTAACAGTGAGGCTGGGCACAGTGGCTCAGGCCTGTCATCCTAGCACTTAGGGAGGCCAAGGCGGGCAGATCACTTGAGGTCAGGAGTTTGAGACCAGCCTGGCCAACAGGGTGAAATCCCATCTCTACTAAAAATACAAAAACTAACCAGGTATGGTGGCATGCACCTGTAATCCCAGCTATTGGTGAGGCTACGGTAGGAGAATCGCTTGAACCCGGGAGGCAGAGGTTGCAGTGAGCCGACATCATGCCATTGTACTCTAGCCTGAGTGACAGAAACTTTATCTCCAAAACGAAAAAAAAAAAAAAAATTTAACAGTGAAGAAAGAAAAAAATGGACATGCTGGGGAGAGCTTTAGGAGGCTGAACTGAAGAATTTGGTGACTGGACATGGGCGTGTGGGGGAAGATGCTCAGATTCCCAGCTTAGGCAACTGGGTACATGGTGGTGCCATTCCTGGAGACAGAAACTCAGTGGGAAAAGGGAAAGGGCTGGGAACAGATGCCGAGTACAGTTTCAGGTGCCTGTGAGATGGCAAGGGACCCATGCTACTCAGTGCCCCCAGCCTGCCCTGCTTCACTCATTCACTTTACTAGTCTCTCAGAAGATTAGGAAAAACAGGCCAGACATGGTGGCTCACGCCTATAATTCCAGCACTTTGGGAGGCCAAAGCAGGAGGATCACTTGAGGTAGGAGTTTGAGACCAGCCTGGGCAATACTACGAGACTGTCTCTACCAAAAAAAAAAAAACTTAGCTAGGCATGGTGGCATGAGCCTGTAGTCCCACCTACTCAGGAGGCTGAGGCAGGAAGATGGCTTGAGCCCAGGAGTTTGAGGCTGCAGTGAGCTATAACTGCGCCACTGCCCTCCAGTCTGGATGACAGAACAAGACCCTGACTCAAAAAAAGAGTAGAAAAAACAAAATTTTAGAATGTTTCAAAAATAGCACCCTTATTAATGGGCGTAGGGGGATGGTTTGATCTCTCTCATGACTTACTTAATAACTTAAACCACGGCAGAACCTAATTTACAGTAACTCTACCACCCAGTTCTTGACAAAACGAACATATTTCCTAGATCTAAGATGCACATGACAGGTACTTACCAAATGTATCAAGTATGTCGGTGATAAGGACAAATTTACTTGGGTAGAACTGAATAACACTGGTGTCTGAAAGAAGCTTTGAACACTAAAAAAAGAGAAAAAGAGAGAAAATTCACTCTGGCATGTCTGGTATGGGTAGGACACTCCAGACCTGAAAAATTAATGGTTTCTGTAAACAAGTTGAGATACTTACTATGTGCCAAGGCCTGTGCTAGGCACCGAGCAAAGAATGACAAGCTAAACCACGGTGCTTTTGACAAAGAGAGCCAGACTCTGCTCACAACAGAACCTCTTTTTTTTTCTTCCCTTTTCTTCTCTTTTTGTAGAGATGGGGTCTTGCTATGTTGCCCAGGCTGGCCTTAAACTCCCAACCTCAAGTGATCCTCCCACCTCAGCCTCCCAAAGTGCTGGGATTACAGGCGTGAGCCACCGCACCCGGCCCATAACACAGACTCTTAAGGAAATACAATATCACCTTCTTCAGGAAAGCCTTAACCAAAAGGATCCTGCTTGTATACTGGTAACCAGGAAGCACTCAAAATCACTGAGAGAAGTGAATGACATCTCTCTCATCACAGTCCTCATCTGTGGTCCCATCTTTGTTCAACTGCTTTGCAGACTGGCTGCTTCTGTTGATTTCAGGGTGATCAGCATCCTTAAACATTCTTTTCTTTTTTTTTTTTTTTTTGAGACGGAGTCTCGCTCTGTCTCCCAGGCTGGAGTGCAGTGGCGCGATCTCGGCTCACTGCAAGCTCCACCTCCCAGGTTCACGCCATTCTCCTGCTTCAGCCTCCTGAGTAGCTGGGACTACAGGCGCCCGCCACCTCGCCCGGCTAATTTTTTGTATTTTTTAGTAGAGACGGGGTTTCACCTTTTTAGCCAGGATGGTCTCGATCTCCTGACCTCGTGATCTGCCCGCCTCGGCCACCCAAAGTGCTGGGATTACAGGCGTGAGCCATCGCGCCCGGCCAACATTCTTTTCTAAGAAATGACCCCATAAGTAAATCCCCAAGGCTTCCTAAACTCACACTGATTATTTATACTCAGTCCCAAATTCCCCCCTAAAAGGAACATAAGCTTCAATGAATACATGCTACTCTGGAAATATGACCTTCAATGCTGAGAACATTTCGGCTTTGCAGGGAATTGCTGAATTCTACATTCTCATTCATGCCAAAGGGTCACAGCCATGCTCTTTATTTAATTTTTTAAAATTTTATTATTCTTTTATTAGAGATAAGGTCTTGCTCTGTCACTCAGGTTAGAGTGCACTGGTGCAATCATAGCTCACTGCAACAATGAACTCCTGGGTTCAAGCAATCCTCCCGCCTCAGCCTCCTGAGTAGCTGGGACTATAGGTATATACCACCATGGCTGGCTAATTTTTTTTTCTTTAATTTTATGTAGAGGCAGGTTCTCACTATGTTGCTTAGGCTGGTCTTGAACTCCTGCCCTCAAGCCATCCTTCCACCTCAGCCTCCCAAAGTGCTGGAAATACAGGTGGTGAGCCACTGCACCCAGCCAACATGTTCAGAACTTTTTTGAGTACTCGTCTGCCATTTAGTGTTCAGGACTCTTAATGGAAGACCGCAGTCACACAATGTGGCCCCAAACACCTTAGATTATCTTTTATCATCAGAAACAGAAAAGCTCTTTCTACTTTGAAGAACTAAATTTAACGCCATGCCCTGAAGTCTTTACACATGCAAAAATCAGCATAAGGAATTAAATAACTGCTACACTTCATCACCCCAACGGTTGACCCTCAGAAAGAAAAATGTCATTTAAAAATTTAAAAAAAAAAGATGTTCAGACATTTAGAAAGGATTATTTAATATGTAATTCCAAAATGCAGAGAATGGTGAGAACGTTCACCATGTCAAGAGATAGGCTGACATGTGTTTTCAGTTTGGTGTTGTTACCCAACATCTAAACTGTTAGAGTCACCAAGTTTCTCCATAGCATTGCAGGCTTAAAAGTAAACAACGTGTCTGATTTGCGAAACATCCTCTTACAGCCCAGATGTTATTTGGGAGTGGGGGGGAACGTAAGCTGTAAAAGCAATAGTGCTGACACCAAACGTGGCAATTGGATGTATGAGGAATTCCATTTCCTGACACCTCGCTCTGCGATTTTCATATGCCCTTTGTGAGAGTTCCAACTTAAACAACTGCCCCATGAGATTTCAAGGCTGGAAAAAGCTAACAACTCCAAATCTTAGAGACTGTTTACAATACACAGTTCTCGGTTCCTAGGGATGTGACATCTCTGAGTTCTACCCAAAGCTGGGCTTGCACAGTCTCTCAGCGATGAGTTACTGCCCACTGGTGAGGTGAGAGAGAGAGAATTTAAACAGAGGATTTCAAATTAAACACAGCTGGGGCTTTCCAAACATCTGTGCATTTATTTTCTCCCAAGCTGGTTTCATAGAACATATATTTTATAAAGGACAACAGGAACAAGATTTTGTTTTTAATCCAAAGTTAAAGCTATAATGATCTTATACATTGAAGTTACTTTTTAAATTACTGTTTTGAAGATGCCACAGTGTTTAAAGCTTTGGTGCCGCTTCCTAAACTTGTCTGATAAGAATCAGGCAACCCAGGTATGTGTTAACAATACAAATCCCAGCTGGGCGTGGCGGCTCACACCACTAATCCCAGCACTGTGGGAGGCTGAGGCAGGAAGATCGCCTGAGCCCAGGAGTTTGAGACCAGCCTGGGCAATGTAGTGAGACCCCAGTTTCTACAAAAAACACAAAAATTATCCAGGCATGGTGGTGTGTGCCTGTAGCCCTAACTACTCAGGAGGCTGAGGTGGGAGAATCACCTGAGTGAGGGAAGCAGAGGTTGCAGTGAACTGAGACTGCCCCACTGCACTCTAGCCTGGAAGACAGAGCAAGAACCTGTCTCAAAAAAAAAAAGGTTAAAAAAATTTGAATAGCCAGAACAAACGCATACATTCAAAGATGACCTGAGTAGGAAGGAAAGAAGTAGACCATTACTATCCAGAATACATTTTCAAAATCCCAAAACTCAGTACAAAAAACTCAGGTAACAAAATGGAAAAATGGGCAAAAGAAATCAGCAAAGGGCATTTTACAAAAAAGGAAACCCCCATGGCCTATAAATATGTGAAAAGATGCTCATTTTTATTAGTAATCGAGGAACTGCAGATTAAAACCACAAGAAAACACGACTGGAAAAATTAAAATAGCAAATCTGCTCATCCCAAACGGTGGTAGAATGTTGAATTGCACAGACTCTCACACGCCCACATGCTGCTACAAGCGTATGTTGGCACAGCTACGATGGAAAATAACTTAGCATTATCTGGAAAAGCTGAAGAGGCACAGAGCAGTTCTACTCTTAGGCATAGGCTCTTATCTAGAGAAAAGCTTTACATGGGCACCAGCAGACGTGACCAAGCGTGCTCACAGCGACATTGTCCATGTAGTGAAAAAACAAAAGAGCCAGATGCTCATCAACAGATGGCAAAATTTATGCATCAGAAGATGATTTCATACTCAATGCAATCCCTGTCAGAATCCCAGAAGGTTTTTTTTTTTTTATTTTGTAAAAATTGACAAGCTGATCCTAAAATTCATGCAGAAATGAAAAGGGCCCAGAACAGTGAAAATAATTTAAAAGAAGAAGAAGAAGAAGAAGAAAGTTAAAAGACTTATCCAACCCAGGCCAGGTGCGGTGGCTCATGCCTGTAATCCTAGCACTTTGGGGGGCCAAACGGGGTGGATCACCTGAGGTCAGGAGTTTGAAGAGAGACCAGCCTGGCCAACGTGGTGAAACCCCATTTCTACTAAAAATACAAAAATCAGCTGGGCATGGTGGCAGGCGCCTGTAATCCCAGCTACTCGGGAAGCTGAGGCGGGAGAATCACTCGAATCTGGGAGGTGAAGGTTTCAGTGAGCTAAGCCAAGATGGTGCCACTGCACTCCAGCCTGGACAACAGAGCAAGACTCTGTCTCAAAAAAAAAAAAGACTTATATTATCCAGTTTCAAACTTGCTATAATGCCATAGTCATCAAAACAATGTGGAATTGGCCAAGCGCAGTGACTCATGCCTTTAATCCCAGCACTTTGGGGGGCCGAGGTGGGCGGATCACTTGAAGTCAGGAATTCGAGACCAGCCTGGCCAACATGGTGAAACCCCACTTCTACTAAAAATACAAAAAATTAGCCAGGTGCGGTGGCGCGCACCTATAATCTCAGCTGCTGGGGAGGCTGAGTCATGAGAATTGCTTGAACCTGGGAAGCGGAAGTTGGAGCAAGCAAAGATCATGCCACTGCACTCCAGCCTGGGTGACAGAGCAAGACTCTGTCTCACAATGTGGAACTTGCATAATGATTGACTAATGGGTCAGTAGAATGGCAGTGGGAGTCCAGAAATAAACCCTTACATTTATGGTTGATTGATTTTTGTTTTTTTGTTTTTTAAGTAGTCTGAGTTGCAAATTTTTTTTTTTTTTTTTGAGATGGAGTTTTGCTCTTGTTTCCCAGGCTGGAGTGCAATAGCACGATCTTGGCTCACCGCAACCTCTGCCTCCCGGGTTCAAGTGATTCTCCTGCCTCAGCCTCCCAAGTAGCTGGGATTACAGGCATGCGCCACTGCACCCAGCTAATTCTGTATTTTTAGTAGAGACGGGGTTTCTCCATGTTGGTTAGGCTGGTCTTGAACTCCTGACCTCAGGTGATCCACTCACCTCAGCCTCCCAAAGTGCTGGGATTACAGGCATGAGCTGCCATGCCCGGCCTTGGTCAACTGATTTTTAACAAAAGTGCCAAGATCTCAGTAGAGAAAAAGATAGTCAATATGGTTTGGCCCTGTGTCCCCACCCAAATCTCATGTCGAATTGTAATCCCCAGTATTGGAGGAGAGGCCTGGTGGGAGGTAAATGAACCATGAGGTAGACCTCCCCCTTGCTGTCCCTATGATACAGTTCTCGTGAGATCTGGTTGTCTCAAAACCTGTGTCACCTCCCTGTTCGTTCGTTCTGTCTCTCTGTCTCTCTCTCTCCTGCTCTGCTATGGAAAGATGTACCTGCTTCCCTTTTGCCTCTCGCCATGA